CCGTGCGGGGAAAAAAAAAAAAAAAAAAAAAAAAGCAATTTCCATAATTTCAAATCCCCTCTCTCCCCCACTACGAACCCTCGCCTTCCATTTTCGAAATTTTCCCTTTTCTTTGACAAATTTCACCGAAATTTTACCAACTAAACACATATAATACGTAATCAAGGGGGTTTGTTGTTGATTTGCGCAGGGAGATTCAAGAACGGTGAAATTTTCTCGAAAAACCCATTCCACCAAGAACGCCCACAAGGTGTTCGACGATTTTTCCCGCACCGATTATTGAGCCGGTACCCGAGCTATTGGAGGATGACGAGGAGGATAATGCTCATGCACATGGTGGAGTTGGTGAGAAACCCGACGATGGTCCCGACGCTTAAACAGGTGTTTTCTATCCTTAAACTCCGGGCGAATCACATTGAGGGCAATGTGAATTTTAAGTTTGGGGGTGGTTAATTACTTGTTTTCGTTTATGTGCGCTTTATTTGTGTTTTAATTTTTTTTTAGTTTGCATGCTTCTTTTGCGTGTTTTAATTTTTCCGTTTTTTTTTATTTGCTTTGAAAAAAAAAAAAAAAAAAAAAAAATTGGTTTGATGCATCAATGAATTATGATGATGGGAGATGGTCAATGTTTGATGATGAGATTACTTGTTTTATGCTTTAAGGAGTAGATATTTGTTTAGCTTTCGATTCAACGGAACGTAGAAGTGAATTATTGCTAGGAATCATACCTTGTGCATTGCTTTGGTTGAATGTTTTGCATTTTAAATTTGGAATTTATTTGTGCTCAATCATGCTTTGTTCGGTTTTAAATCTCACCTTAGGACATTTATGAAACGAAGAGTTGGGTAGTAAGTGATTTGGGATATGATTTGGGCATTCTTTGAACCGTTTGAGCCTTTCAAGCCTACCTTTAAATTTTTATCCTTAGAACCTTGATTTGAGCCTCGGAGAAAAAAGGTGTTCTTTCTTTTAGCCAATATGTAGAAGGTGGAAAAGTGGAGATTTTTGAATAATTATCCCTTGGTGTTCGGTCGAAATGTTTTATTAGATCTTTCTTCTTCTTCGAAAAAAAAAAAATAGATATATATATATACGTGCATCTTTATATATATATATATATATATATCTAAATTCGATTCGAAAAAAAAAAAAAAAAAAAAAAAGAGAAAAGAAAAAGAAGAAGAAGAATAGATTAGAAGGGAGAAATAAGGACTAGTGGTTGAATTGTGTTGAAAACTCGATCCATTGCCTCAAGGCAAAAGTGTTGACGTGTGAATTTTGGAGAGTCGAGTTTATTAAAGTCCCTAGAGGTGAATTTATTGTTTCAAACGCCTAGCTTTCAAATTTTGGCGTAATCACCTCAATTCAAGAAAATTAGCCACACATTCCCATATTACCTACCTCGGACCAAAGAGCCTAACAATTGAAAGCCACAAAGTCCCAATGATCCCAATAGCTTATTGTTCAATATTAGTTGAGTAAAATAATTTGGTGAGTATTTGGAGTCAAATATATGCATGTAAGTATAAATTCTTTCTTTCTTTAACTTGCAAATATTGGATACTTGAAGCAATTGTATGATTTGTGGTTTTTGGTAATAGTGAGTGACTAAGTACCGTTGAATGTTAAGCTTGCGAATACCTAGGAATTATCATCATAATTGCAAGTTCTGAAAACACGAAGTTGACCAATCGACCTATGTAATGAGATGTATTGTCATGGTTTGTGTTCTTAATTTGATTTTACTTGAGGACAAGCAAAAGTTCAAGTTTGGGGGTGTGTTAAGTGTATATTTATACACTTAATTGTACCTTTTAATTGGAGCTTTTGATGTGTTTTTACGATAATTGGTGCTTAATTTGGTTATTATTTGTATTTTAGGTGCAAATTGAAGAATTGGCAACTCTTGGGGTGAAAACTGCAATTTCGGAGAAAAAGTGGGCCAAAAGTGAAAAAAGCAGAATTCTGGAGAATTAAAAGACCGCACGGCCGTGCGGATTTTAGTTCAAAATCTCACACGGCCGTCCGGGTGGACGTGAAGGCGCAGTTAAGGAAGTTTAATTACACAAGGAAACCCGCCCTATTATAGTTTTGCACCCTATTTAAAGGCCAAAAGCACACAATTAGAAGGATCTTTTACCTTTTATCGTTATTATTAGTTTTTAGTTTTTTATCTTTTCTACAAGCAATCGAGGAGGAAGAGAACGAAGACGAAGACTTGACGATTCTTCATCCTAGTTTTCCTTTTCCTTTTCTTTTCTGATTTTTATGAATTTTCGTATTTTTATTATGCTTTTCGTAACGAACATGAGTAGCTAAGTTTTTATTCTAGGATTTTATTGGAACCCTATGTGGTAACTCGAACCTATTTTTCTACTTTTATGCAAGTTTAATTCTTCGATTATTTCTTCTATCTTGATTGTATTTAGTGCATGAGCGTAGCTAACTTATGTTGCTATTTGTTATTGTTAGAATTGATTGACAGATCGTTTTAATAATTAGAACAGGGATAGAAGAGCCTTCGAGTAGTTTTTCACCGAATGCGTGTGTTGATTGCATGTATTATCGTAGACATACAATTTTTTTCGGGCCGGTCAACTGCCGTTGACCCCCGGGTCTCCGGCGTTGACTTTTTTTTTTTTTTTTAAATAATTTTGTTTATCTTAAAAAAAAAATTTAATTAATATTACTGTCTTGGCTGCTAAATTACTGTCTCCGGCAGTTATTTAACTGTCGGAGACAGTAATTTAACTGTTAATTGACTCTTTTTTTTTTTTTCAAAAATATTTTAATTAATATACTGTATTCGTTGCTAAATTACTGTCTCCAGCAGTTATTTAACTGTCGAAAACAGTAATTTAACTGTTAATTGACTTTTTTATGCTTAAAAAAAATATTTTTAATTAATAATACTGTATTCGTTGCTAAATTACTGTCTCCGGCAGTTATTTAACTGTCGGAGACAATAATTTAACAGTTAAGTGACTTATTTTTTTTTTCTTAAAAAAATTATTTTAATTAATATTACTGCATTGGATGTTAAATTACTGTCTCCAACAATAATTTAACTGTCTTAGACAATAATATTAATAATATTATTGTTCGGAAAAATAATATTCATAATATTACTGTCCCAAACAGTAATATTACTGTCTGAGACAGTAATTTACTAGCCAAGACAGTAATATTAATTAAAATAATTTTTTTCTAAGAAAAATAATTCAAAAAAAAAAAGTCAACGCCGGAGACCGGCGGTTAATGGTGGTTGACCGCCCGGAAAAAAATTTCAGGAGAAAAAAAAGTTAAAAAAAAAAAAAAATCAACGCCGGAATCTGGCCGAAAAAAAAACATTTCAGAAAAAAAATTATTTTCTGAAAAAAAAAAGTTTTGGGGGTTAATGTCATATATTTGTTTAAATTCGGGGTCAATGTGTAATATTAAGGAAGTTAGAGTATAATTGGTGGAATTGATAAGAATTATATTATTGAGGGTATTTTAGATTAAAGACATGGGGATGGGCTTAATTGAGAGACTGAAAAAAAAAAAAAAAAAAAAAAAAAAAAAAAAAAGAAAGATTAGCAGCATAAATAACATTGCCTCCAACAACGTTAAACAACCAATTTACTTTGCCTTAGCTCACGAAGCCATGCTCAAATGTCTGTACAAAAACGCCAATGTACCGATACCGAATCTCCAAAAATAATCACAAATTTTATGAATATCGTCTATTAGTAAGCTGCAAGTCGACTTTTATCTTATGAGCTCTTATCAACGGACAACGACTCTCCAGTGAGATAAATGATGTGTACTAGTGCTTATATTCTGATTAAAACTCAGAATCATCTCACAAGAGTCTTGAGATGTCCTAAAATCGAATGCCTGTCGTTATTGAACTACAAGTCATCTTTCTATATAATACATGTATCGAAGATCCTCGCAACACTCTCTACCTGAGTATTTCGATATGCCGTAATGTAGGGTCGTGCCCCACCAACTCGGAACCTGTACTATTGTACATTATGGAGGGTGAGATCAGCTCTCCAAATGACATACGTGAAGTGTGGGCACATAGCTACCCACACTTTGGTCAATAGGGCCCCGCTGATTTAGACGAGCCGAAATACGAGGCTCCTGTACATGATACGCAACATGAATAATTAAGTTATACCATTACATTTAAAAAATTAAGATATGAAATAAAATTTATAAGACAACTAGTTTTCCTCCTATATGCCCTAAACGTGCTACCAAAATTGGAATCAACTCAATATCAGTAGGATCACCGAGTGTTGGACTAGACAACCGTCATCCACGAGTAGCAGTTGAGGGAGTAGTAGTCGAGAGAGTTGGAGGCGGGCCAACACATCCTCCGTCAGCATCAACATCGTCGACACCGGCAACATTATGACCTCAACTATAGAATCGTCTAGGCCGCAAATTGAAATGCATTTGAAAGTCTAAATAATTTTTGGGATTTGGCTTTTGAAATTTCGGGTTGCCGACACCTAATTTTTTTTGAAATTTCGTCAGCCCACGCCCATGATTTTTGCGTGGAGAATGCAATCCCACACCCAAGTGTTCACACCTAAATTGGGCATGAAATTATCCACGCCCAACTTGGTCGTGAAATTGGATTCCGCTCAAATTTGACCGTAGAGACTTAAATTTCACTACAAGAAAAAGTCCTTTTGACAACACACGATGCATGTTGTCTAACCATTTCGACAACGTACAGACGCACGTGGTGGACCAACATGTTGTTAAAAATGACGGATGATAACAACGTGCGATGTAAGTGGTGAACTGCATTTCAACAAGATGCACCATATGTTGCGCTATAGCATTTACAAGATTCGCACGCACGTTGTGGCTTGTACGTATTACCACCACACACCTGTGCTTCTTGTAATAGAGTTTTAACATCATTATATGCATGTTGTAGTTTTTACTTATTTTCACAAAAAAAAAGAAAAAAAAATATTTGAAATACAATAATTTAAATAATAATTGTATCCATAAAAATAGAAAAAATATCATTTCATTAAAATAATTATACATTATAATAAATTCTACATCATTCTCACCAGTAATAAACTCATCTACACTAGTGTCAAGCCTTCCTCAAACGAACAAAAAAAATCAAAGAACAAGAAAACAAACGTACATTTTGTTTGATTAAGAGCCCTTGTACAGGACATTGATGCCAACCTCTCTATCTAACACATGACATCTATGCCAACCTCCATGTCATAAATAAAAATCTTTGGATTTTTTGCTAACTTGTTCAAGACCCTAGTATTGAAAGAAAAATAAAATTAATAAGTAAAGGAATCCACAAACAAGAGAGAGAGACAAAGAGAAGTTCTTATCTTGTGTTTTCGCCTAGCTGCAACACTTAGACCATAAGCAATGATGTAAGAGATGGTCTCTCTGTTCGCACCTGCATACACAATTTCAGAAATAAATGATTATAAGATTTTTAGATTGATGAGCAAAATTATGTTTGATGAAGACCAAAAGTTTATGTACTATAATACTTACCCCATTGCTATAACTGAAGTAGTAATTTTCGAATTCGACATCAACTCTACTAACAAAACCAGAATCACGTAAGCCATATACTCAAGAATGATTAAACTACGAAATTGTCGATTATGAGGAAAAAAAATCTACTAAAATGAACATAAACACTGGTGCACCTCATTCCTCCTTTCTACTGCGTCACAACTTCATAATGTAAATTTACAGTGGTTCCACTTTTTGTGTTGCATAATATGTAAAAAGAACTGAACGAGCTAATTGTTTCAGATTTAACAACATCTATTTGTTTAGTTGGCTAATTCTCTATGAATATGTGTTAGCAAATAATTCAGTAGGAAAAATGTTTATCAGTCATATAACAAATTCACGAAATAGATATACTAGCGTATAAAACATCAAAATATATATTCAAGAAATTGGGAAGATTATATTTACCTCATCAAAGAGGTACCGAGACCAATAAAAAAAATAGTGAATTAGTAAAAATAAATTCCATGGAATATATCACTAGTCTTAAATCATATATCCACAGTTCACAAAAAGAAGAGATATATATGAGATTGATACTTACTATAATTTTAAGAAGAATAAAAAAATCCCCCAAGTTAGGGTTCTTACAAAAATAAAATTAACAATTGGGAGAGGGGAAGATAAAATTACCGTGTTATTCTTCTTCCCAAGGAAAGATGAAGTGCCTTGTCTTCAATTGAAAATCTTATAATGTCATAGAAAAAAGAGGGAAATTGATGAACCTTTAAAAATAAATTCCATGGAGTATCAGTAATCCTAAAACATATATCCATACAAAAGAACGAGATTCAAGAGATTGATATTCAATTAATGTTTGAAGAAGAAGAAAAATCCCCACGTTAGGGTTTTTAGACAAGTAAAATTGACGATTGGAAGGGGAAAAAAAAGTACCGTGTTCTTCTTCTTCAATGGCGAGATGAAACGCCTTATGGGTAACGTGTTCTTCTTCTTCTTCAATGGGGAGATGAAACCCCTTCTGTTCAATTGAAAACCCTTCTCCAGAGAAAGGAAAAGAAGAAAATTGACGAATCGTAAGATCGATTTGTAGGGGCACGACCTATTTGAAGATTAGAGTCGTGGGCCGTTTTTTTTTTTTTAAGGAATAACCTACAATTGGGGGTAGAGAGTTTCGAACTCTTGACCTAAGGAGCCCGTCTTTTCAATATAATGAACAAAAGAAACGACAAGTCGCGGCGCATCTTGTCGTATCTAATAAAATTTAGAAAATTGAATATTTTTTCTACAACACGAATTTTGTCTTGTTGTAAGTTGTTTTAACAAGCTGCAAGAGCGGCGTGCTGTAAATTACTTTGATTTGCTATTAACAACAAGATGCCTACCAAGAATGTTGTTAATTATGTACATTGACAACACATCTTGTGTGCGTGTTGTTAAAATAATGTTGTTAAAACTTGTTTTTCTTGTAGTGTTTCAAGCCCACGTTGGGTGTGAATTAGGGAAGTTAACGCCCAGTTTGGGTATTTGACGAACTTGTTTTTCTGTTCTTAAGGCGGGCATTTAGGAAACCAAGTGCCGAATGAGCTAGAAAAAGTTTGTGAATATCATTGACATCTTGATCGTTTACATGAGATAAATGTAATGATCTAATACAAGGTACAGGACATTGCATAAACTAATTAATTGATTTGTTAATAAAAAATTAGTACAATCTAAGTCAATTCAAACTAATTCAATCCACATAAACGTATTAAAGAGGCTTAAAATTAACATGAAAAAAAAAGATTAAATACACGTAGAGTTGTAGACAGTGGTCGTATCACATAGCTAAGCGGCTGAACAACCGTAGGCGAAAAAATGAACCGACTATATATGTATACCTATATTCTCATACTTAAATATCACAATTTTCTTTTGATCAATGAATGTATTTTGAAACGTCAACACCGTATATTAAAAAGCAAATATCAATCCCATATTCCAACTATACCTAATAAGATCGAAATATCATTTCAAGGTTACTTAATACATACAAAATTCAATTCACTTGATTATGCATTTTTAGAGTAAGTTCTAAAAAATGTAAATAACTGCATGAATCAAGTCATACCTTCTTCACGAGAAGACTTCAGTCTTCTCGTGTATGATATTTGTTAAAAAACAACTCTTTCATAGTTTCTGGTCAAACTCATATATACCAGCAGAACGCGATATACTCTTGAGGGCTTGATTTCATATTCCATTTCTAAAACCTATTGATTTCGTAGTTCAGACAGAAAACAGATACACAGATTATAAAAATGTAATAATTTAAGAATTGTATGGGCACTACGGCGGCACCCGAAATTTGTTGGTTACTAATACTATACTAAGCTTGAAGCTGTACGAATTAATTTGCTATTAAGATCAAACTCAAAAGGTTATAAAATTGGAACTAAAAAATAAACGCACATAAGTAATAATCTTTACTACTTGGCCGTTTATCAACATGAGGCAAGTGAGGTAATACCTTTGCATTATCATTTAGGAAAGCAATGCAGAAAAGAACTAGAGCTCGACGCCTCGTTTCACTTCGATTAATTCCATCAATCAGACTCATCAAAATGGAGCTACACACACACCAAAGTGTAAAGATGTTAAGTCAGAATCTAGTTTAGATCATGTAATAAGCTCATGTTATGAGATAAGACCATCATCTTTATTACAAAAGAAAATAGGTCTTACATAAAGGATCCGCCTTAGACTTTTCCATATCCTCGAGATTTACTTCATGAGTTCCGCCCTTGGCATCAATATACATGCACGAACTGCATAGTTTAAAGTGCATCAATTGCCAGCAAATTAATGTCGGGTTGTACAACGAAATTGCTCGAACACTTAGCTCACACAGTAATAATTTAAGAATTATCTTTACATGAGTTCACTCACAATGCCATTTAAAAATACATAGTAAAAGGTTTTTCTGAAGATTCTAACCTTATATTGAACCTGTACACAGAGTACTGATCGTTGCCTTGGCATAAGTCCCGGAGATTTTCAATCCGAGAAGTGGAATTGACTTCGGGCGAACTCAATATTCCAGAAACGGAATAGCTCGACTCATTGACAGCTCTCTCTGGTATGCTAATACAGTTTCCCTAAGGCTTTCAGCCGCTGAGTTAGCCTGTGACAAGGATAAGAAAGAACAGTTATAAGCTTGTAAGAATATTTTTTTGTGACTCGATATTTACTATGGAAACTTCTTTTCTCGTGCAATATGTTACATTGCAGAATCAGTACTTTAATAATTTTAAATCAGTCGATTTTCTAAACCATACTAACGATATTCTGATACCACAAAAAAATATGCATTAGCATAAGCAGATTGCAAGTAGTACTAATGTTGATAAAAAAAAATAGTGCTCGGTGAAAGTTTAGAGTTCATATTGCCAATTAATCTAACATATCAGCATCAAGACGAAAAAGTTTCGATATAGCGACAACAATATTATAAACTGTTATTTATCAAACAATTATATACCTTTTCATCTTCGAGGCGCACGACATCACCAACAAGAGCAACCCTAGCTGGCAGCTGCATGATATAAAGCAATTAATATCTTTGGACTTTTATGGTGCAAACAAAAATCAAGAAAAATGTTTTACCAAATTCCCACCTTTCTTATTGATTTAAGTATTTGTAAAAGTGGGCCCGGAAACGGGCTGCTCACGGCAAAAGAGCCACGTTCGTCAACAATAGTGTTCTGTAAAAGAAAAAAAAGATGAGAAAACATGACCTAGCTCACGTACTACAATAACAAGCAACTTGTTCGACTACTTATCACTTTTCTTTTATTTATGCTGAAAGCTTAGCTTCAAAATACAAACCGATAGTTTTTGGAGATCGGTCGATCTACAAGGTTGACCTTTTTTATAACAAATAAAAAGTTGACTCGAGGGAAATGATATTTTTGTACTGTATTAAAGGCCGTGCAGTATTTTCATTCGCATAATGCACAAAGATTGTGTTAGTTCAAGTATAACTTTTTAAATGAAGAGATGTTGTGCAGAACCAAGTTATATAGCAACTAAATTACATGGGGTTGTCTAGGGTCCGAGAGGGTTGTACTTCTCGGACCATAATTAACCAATAAAAAATTGCCACATCATATAAGTACGTATCCAACAAAAAAAAGTACGAACCCTGGTATATAAGTAAAATTACGAAAAAGCCCCCTTAATTAAAACAAAATTTAATTGGAAAATTAATAATCTAAACCTTAATTACAAATCAACAAATTTAAAATCATATTAAATGAAGAAAAACACTATTACGTCAAATTTAATTAGACTTCTTGTAAAACTTTAAACCTAATTCCATTGTTCTCATCATTTATTCATCATCATCAATCGTTCTTTCTCCATAAAACAAAAAAAAAATTATCATCAATTTCTTTTAAGAAAGTTCATCATCGATCGTTGAATCCCTTTCTAGCAAACTTCTCTGGGGCAGGAATTCATCGTGTGATTCTTTTCGGCGTTCGATGTTCTGGGTTCCTTGTAGAGAAAGTATGTGAATCTGTTCTTGTATATGCATATCAAAAAAGAAAAATCCAATCGTGGGTATCACAGTCAAGGTGTTTGATGAAATTTCTCTATGACTAAAAGTTTCTCTATTAAATACTGAAAAAGAAAATGTGAAACCCCCACATTAGAGCAACTTATATGTTTCTGGACCTTATGATGTTGAGTTACAGAGCAATTTCTCCTCTAGTGCATGTCTTAATGGTTATTTTGTGTTCTTAACAATATTTTTGAGCATTCTAAAATTTGTTTTGTGTTGAAAACAACCAGATTTTTGTGCATTTTCTATATTTCATGCTCGTTGTTTAATTCGTTTTACATTAATTGTTATGCGAACTATGCCATTGGCATTACTAATTGAAGTATGCAACGAGTTCCTCAATAAATTTTTGAAAGGAAATTCGTTGCGCTAAGGGGCCTATAGCACCCGCAACATCCTCCAGTCACTCGATCTAGCGTGGAAAGTGCACCGGATCTTTCCTCAGGAACTTCTTTATTGTATTCGAGCAAAGACACTTGATAATCTACATCACTTTGTGGTTCGACGACATTTTGTAGCCACTGTCAAGTATTTCCATTGTTTTATCAAGTGTTGTAAATTTCTGTTGCTGATTTTTTTTAGTTAAATCACTATATGTTATTTTTTTTTTTGATAGAAAATCACTATATGTTATTGGACAACCTTTTCTTTTATTTATTTATTGTAATATTAAAATAAATAAATAAATAAATAAGAGTTGTTTTGGCTGTTCTGTTGTTTGAATTACTTCTGAACATTTTGTTAGTCTAGAAGAACATGTCATTGCAATGAATTTTGTTATACTTAATATCATAAGTTTACGAAGTTAGTGCAGAACAATAAACATTTGGTGGACTGGAGATTTGAGAAGCATGTTAGCAATCAATTTTGGGCTCTTATTTTTTGTATCAGATGTTCTAATTTTAGATTCACATGTAGTTTGTTGTTGTAATGGCTGAAATCGAGATTTGTTGTTCGTGCATCTTTTATGTAATTGCTCATAAGGTATTTATGTTGAAATTATTAAAATTAGATATACGCAATAGAGACGAAAAAAAAAAAAAAAAAAAAAAAAAAAACCTAAGCAGCCCAAGTTTTACACACATATACATATGAAATAGTAAACTGTGAAATAGGAAAACATGGAAGAATAGACGAAAATCTGTAAATAGTGTGGCCATGCACAACAATCATAGTGAAAGAATTAAAATAAATATAAAATAAAATCATCCTTGTACAAACTTCGGCCATGCCAAAGGCAACAGAATATGCAATAGCTCTGACGAGAGCGGTTTACAGAGTGCTCCTTTCGCATAGTCAAATACGAGCAAAGGTACAAAAATTGACATAAGATGCACCAGGGAGAAGGGGCACCAGTCCACACACTCTCTAAACAATATTTGTGGCCTCTTTGGATCTACTTCTCCAATCTCAGTTCAAATCTGCACAAGTTTAGATGTCAATTTACAAGCTCGACTTAATAAATTGGCTCTCAAAATGTGAAGTGTTCTTTTAATCTCAAAAATTGAAATCGCAGATAAATATTTTGTAGTTTAACTAAATACATTTGATTGATACAAACATGCCAAACGAACCATTGTTGGGAATGAAGCTAATGGAAATGATATAGCAAAAAATGAGCGTAGAGTAAAGGCTCACTTCATCAATACGTCGATATATGCTTTTGAATTCTTCCCTGGAGCATATACACCAGTACTGTTTGCATCCTCATGAGACTGAATCCTATAATTACATTTCTGCACCTCAGCATCTGTTGCAAAAACTTTTCAAATAAATAATAAGGTGAATTAAAACTTAAAAGTATCTAAGAATCAAATAAAAATTTGGAATGACACTTTAATTTAAACAGAGCCGTGGTCCTAAAGAACTAGTATCCCACTCAGATGAACCAAGCATACCCCTCATCTAATGATCAACCTTACAGCAAGATAACTGCATATTAAACAAATACAAACATCAAATACAACAGCACATGGAATCCCAATTAAAAATTTAGATGTCAAAGTAAGAACATTATAAAATTCTTGATTACAAAACGTAAATACAATACCGATATATATATATATATATATATAACAAATAACCTCAAAGGCTAATGGAAATGGCGAGTCCACCAATTTCAGCAACACTGCCACCAACGGTGGGAATGGTGGCGGAGGAAGCATTAGCGCCAGAGAGCCCCTATGCAAAGGCGAAAAAACTGATCCTCGATTCTTGTATTGATTCTTGTTTTGACTGCAACTCTAATTTTGAGGTTACACATATAAGCAAGCATTACATCTTGTTCAGTGTTAGTTGTCATGTTACCCAAGATTGGATATAACAGTAGGCGAGCCTTTCTAAAGAAGCAATTTGTATCTAATATCGATAATAAAAATCCTCAATTCTTGCAATAAGAAACAGAAAAATTGAAAAAAATGAGAGCAAGAAAAAACTAGAACAGATCAAAAGAACAAAATTACTAACGCAATTTTCTCAACACTAACCCCCAGCGCTGTCCCGGCGGCTAGTTGATGAAGCAACGGAGAAATTAGGGATTCTTTAATCTCGATCGGTAGAGATTTTATGTCTGGGGAAGAATAGAGATTTTGATTTCATCTTTCGTCTAATTTTGTTTTGTTAATTAGTTATGATTATTTAATATCTCTTTAATAGATATTTTTTGAGTTTGAAGGTTAATTATGTAATTTACATAAAGTACGATGAGGTACGATGTGTTTTGACTGGGTTCGTACTTTAAATTATAAATCTCTAGTATCGTACTATGTCGTACACATAAATCAATGGCTGAGATTTAAAATTTAATTATTTCTACGTACAAGATAAAATAATTTATGGTCCGAGAAGTACAACCCTCTCGGACCCTAGACAACCCCAAATTACATAGGATAACCTAAAAAGAGTAGCAATAAAAATGCAAGTTGTCCCATTTTATTTTTATTCATATATAGTTTTTATGGTTTTTCATATTTTTATTATGCTTTTCGTAGAAAACATGAGTAGCTAAGTTTTTATTCTAGGATTTTATTGGAACCCTATGTGGTAATTCGAACCTATTTTTCTACTTTTATGCAAGTTTAATTCTTCGATTATTTCTTCTATTTTGATCTTATTTAGCGCATGAACGTAGCTAATTTATGTTGCTATTTGTTATTGTTAGAATTGATTGACAGATCGTTTTAATAATTAGAACAAGGATAGAAGAGCCTTCGAGTAGTTTTCACCGGATGAGTGTGTTAATTGCATGTATTATCGTAGACATATAGATAATACCTTAGGTAGCCGTTTACGAGACTTGTTATTTAATGCTTTATTCATACTAGGTTTGCATTGACATATAGTGAATCTTTTAGAATAATAGACTTATAATACACGCGACAGCTGGTTATGAGTAATTTCGTGTCTTGGGTTAATAATCGGGAATCGTAACTTGCATGATAGAAGATTAATTGGGTGAAGAATTATCGCATAGGGGAAGATAAAATCCTATATCCGTTTTATATTGATATTTTCTCGTGTTTAACTGCTTTCTTAATTAGTTTAATTTATTAAGTTAATTAATTTGACAACCTTGCGTAGGCTGGATAACAATCATAATTGTTAGGATTTGGTCCTTAGGATTAGGTAATTTGCGTGTTCCCTGTGGGATCGACATCCGACTCTCACGAGTCCACTTTTACTACTTGTTTGCGATACGTACACTTGCGTGTTGGTATTTAGCACCCAACAGTAAACATAATAAAAAACCACAAGAATTAATATTACTGTGAATGACAGTAATATTACTATAACAACAGTAATATTACCGTCAACCACAGTAATATAACAATAATACACAATAATATTATTACGCTACTTCATGAATAACACAAACAAACAAAAAATCGAAACAAAATAATAATATTGATGTGGTTGACAGTAATATTACTATAACAACAGTAATATTACAGTCAACCACAGTAATATTATTGTGTTTACAGTAATACAATAATATACAGTAATATTATTACGTTATTCCGTGAATAACTCAAACAAAACAAAAAACCCAAAAAAATAATAATATTGATGTTGTTGACAGTATATTGTGTTTACAATTATTTTACTGTCAACGACAATAATATAATTACGTTGACTTGTCAACAAATCAAACAAAATAAAAAAAAACAACAAAAAATAAAAAATAATAATATTACATTAATTTACTGTCAACGGCAGCACAATTACATAAATGTATTGTCAACGGCAGTACAATTACGTTAATTAACTGTCACAGTATAATTAAGTTAATTTATTGTCAGTGACAACACAATTACGGTCAACGTTTAGCGGCGGACATAAAAAAAAAAACCAAAAAAAAAAAAAACTTAAAAAAACACTTAACAAAGTCAACGCCAGAGACTGGCAAAAAAATCCGGAAGAAAAGAAAAGAAAAAAAATTACACATAAATACAAGCTTTGTGGTCAAATTAAAGTATATTAAAGTATGCTCCAAAAAAATTAAGTTAATGATAAAATTAGAGCATATTAAAGTATGCTCCAAAAAAATCAAAATTGAATTTTTGTGGTCAAAATCGGATTTCTGTGGATAAAAACCTAAAATAATAAACATGCTTGGTTGGGACTTACGCACAAAAACCCCTTTATTGAATTAAAATTATAGTAAGGGGATCACTATTTCAAATCCCAACTTTTGCTTACTTGAATACCAAAAAAATAAAAGATAAATAATTAATTGTAAATTACTTTAATACCCTTAATGAAATTAAAACCAAAAAAATATTACAAATACTATTTTTCTTTCTTAAATACCAAATAATCAAAAACTCAAAAAAACCATTTCCCTCCTTACTCACAAACCCCTCACCTCCTCCACCTCCTTCTTCTCCCTCCCCAAAAACCCTTCTAAAAAATCTTCCTCACAACAAACCCTTCAAAAAAATCTCACAACAAACCCTTCTAAAAAATCTCAAAACTAAAGAAATTAAAACCTCACAAAACGTATAAAATTGAGTTATAAGACAATAACATGGTAGTATATATGAAAGGAGAACACATTAAGGTAAGTATCGATGTCTTTTTTGAGCTTCGAAGTCGATTTTGAAGTTTTTTTTTTGAAACCCGCCGGCAATTTTCGACACATACAGGTTGATTTTTTGGTCAATTTTCGACACCAACGTGTCGAAAAAAAAACAAATTTCGACACATACCTGTCGAAATTTGGACGTCGAAATTTGTCCAAATTTCGACAGGTATGTGTCGAAAAACACTATTGGTAAAAAAAAAAAAAAAATTATTTTATTTTTATTTTTTTTACAACAGTGTTTTTCGGCACATACCTATCGAAATTTGGAGAATTTTCGACAGGTATGTGTCGAAATTTGTTTTTTTTGTTTTTTTTTTTTTTGACACGTTGGTGTCGAAAATTGACCAAAAAATCGACCTGTATATGTCGAAAATTGCCGACGGGTTTAAAAAAAAAACTTCAAAATCGACTTCGAAGCTCAAAAAAGAAAGACATCGATACTTACCTTAATGGCTTCTCTTTCCACACATACTACCATATTATTGTCTTATCACTCCATTTTATAAGTTTTGTGAGTTTTCGATTTTTTGAATTTGGAGATGTTTTGGAGGATTTAAGAAGATGAAAAAGATAGGGTTTAATTGGGTTGTCACGGCAGTTACGAGCATGTACGGTGGCGTTCGGCGGCGCGGCGGCGGCGGCGATGAGAGTTGGAGAGGAGAAGAAATGGTGGAGGTTTTTTTTTTTTTTTTTTTTTCCAACAAATGGTTTTTTTTTTTTTCTTTTTTTTTATTTGGTTTTTGAATAGGTAATTTCTAAAAAAAATTGATATAATTGATATTTTGTATGAAAGGGTGTTTTTGTACTTTTCTTCATATTTTGGTATTAAAGTAAGAAAAAACTGATAAATATGTACTCAATTTTGGTTTTAAACTTGGTAGTATTCAAGTAAACAAAAGTTGAGATTTAAAATAATTGCCCCCTTATAGTAAGTCCTGATATCTTTTTTTATCAAAGTAGGTAACTGTGTCCTGGAAGGACTCTACTACTCTATTAGGTTATTATATATAATCTTCCTTCCTTCTTATTTCAAACACATAAATACGTACAACTAATAAAAAAAAAAAAACACATAAATACAAGCTTCTCTTTCTCAGAAACTAAGGGCACAAATTGTTTGACAATTTTGCAGTTTCCATGGATTCCGACGAAGATTCTTACCACGACGAATATTCGTACGGCGATGATGTGGAGGAAATTGATGATTCCGGCAGCGAGGCCGCGGAGGAAACTGATTCCGGCGTGGAGGAGGAGGAGGAACTGGCGGAATACGGCGGCGGCAGAAACAGTAGCCGCCGCCGCCAGAAGCACTACACAATCCTCACGGAAGAAAGAATCCGGCAGCTACAAGACAACGACATCTCCCAAGTCAGCAGCCTTCTCTCCGTTTCTAAAACCCTAGCATGCACCCTCTTGCGCCGCCACAATTGGAGCATCTCCGCCGTTTCCGACAAGTGGTTCTCCGACGAGGAAAAATTACAATTCCCACAACAAGAATTGCTAAATCCACTACCACCAGACAACGACAACAACCTCTGTAATATTTGCTTCGAAGAGATTAGTGGTGAGAACATGCTGTCTTGCCCATGTGGACATCCCTTCTGTTCTAATTGCTGGAAGTATTACATAATGGTCTCGATCAACGACGGGCCGGGATGCTTGTCTTTGAGTTGCCCCGAGCCCGGATGCAAATCCAGTGTGGGCCCGGAACTAGTTGACTCGTTAGCTTCAGATGAAGATAAAGAAAGGTACTACAGATACTTTCTCCGATCCTACGTGGAGTGCCACGGGAACACGAGGTGGTGCCCTGCCCCACGATGCGACCGCGCGGTCCAGATCGAAACGCGCGTGCGGGAGAACTACGACGTGGCGTGCGATTGTTCTCACAGGTTCTGCTGGAACTGTGCGGAGGAGTGCCACCGCCCGGTCGACTGCAAGACCGCGGCGGAGTGGATCGAGCTGAGTAGTTCCGAGGAGGAGGATATTAACACCGCTACGTGGATTATGGCTTTCACAAAGCCGTGTCCGGGTTGCGGCATTAACATCGAGAAGGACCAGGGCTGCAATCACATGATCTGTCGAAAGCCGTGCAGACAACAATTTTGCTGGTTGTGCCTACAACCGTGGGAAAACCACACCCACGCTAGTTGCAACGAGAAGAAGGAATGCAATAAGAAATTTACACGTGCGAGGAAAAATTTGTCGAAATTCGGACATCACTACGAAGGGTGGGTTTTGAATCATATGCGCATGCGAACTGCCGTGTCGGATCTTCGTACGGTGCTCGATGATAAGTTGGGGGGTGAATATTCCAATTACGTCAAGTTCGGGTTCTTGATTGAAGCGTTGGAGCAGATTGTCGAATGCAGGAGCATGTTGAAGTGGAGCTACGTGTACGGTTACTACTTGTCCTTGACGAAGAAAGTGACCAAGATTGAGTTTTTTGAGTTCTTGCAAGAGCAGGCGGAGGTTAATATTGAGAGGCTTCACCATTGCGCTGACAAGGATATTGAGATGTACGTGAACAACGATTTCGATATGGAGGATTTTGTGGGTTTTCGGAGGAAGGTTGTGAATTTGACAAATGTCACGAGGAACTACTTTGAGGAGTGGGTTAGAGCGTTGTAGAACGATCTTTCCGTGAAACTGACATGCATATGGAGTCGAGTTCTTAGGTAGTGAGACAGCCCGAAGAAGGTTGGTGAATATATTGACTTGTCGTTGTCCATATTTGGTATGCGTTGATTTTATTTGAAGTCGTGTGATTATATTTCGGAGTTTCGTGTGATTATATTTCGTAGTCTATTGATTTTATTTGAAGTTCGTACTGTGATTATATTTCGGAGTTTCGTGTGATTATATTTCGGAGTTTCCGATTCCGTTTGATAGAAGATGTACTTACATAGGACATGGTTATGTTATGTTGGTTATGTATTGTGTTTTTACAATTCATCTATCATTTATATTTTTTATATGGACAAGTTGCAGTTCTCACCGTTATAAATTTCCAATTTTCGCAAATTCCCGATAATAGTAAAATTCAAAAGAAATTTATGGTCTTCATAACTATAGATCTTAGAACAAATATTTTAGGAGCTATTCAACTAATGAAACATCTAACTAGGTATATTTGTCAAATGACTTCATTAAAAAAGAAAAGAAAAAGAAAAAGGATTGTAGTCATATGTTTGAACTTTGTAATAGATCCTTTAAAGCTTAATTGTTCATAATTTAGTTAGCTTAATTGTATTTCATTATCTGTACAAGAATTAAAATTAATAATCAATTTAATTGTAGGAATCATATAGCTTAATTAGTGTAGTTCAACTTTGATAATTTAACAACTGAAGTTAACAAAGGCTTACTCTAACTAGTTAGATAGCAGGCTCCAACTCCCCTGCGTGATGCTTCAACAGTAATTAATTCCCGGGCCGGAAAAAATGATATTCATATAGTAAAATTATTGTCCTATAGTAAATTTTTTGTCCTAGAATACTTAATTACGAAATATTCCCGTACTAAGAGTGCATCACAGGTAAAAGTTAGAATGCATATATACTATTGGCAATAAGTAATAAGTTTTGCAGATTCGGAATAAACGTAAATATAAAACGTAGGGTTTGTTCAGCGCGTCCGTCTCTTAGAAGGAGCTGGTGGTTTTTTGACAGGTTCTTAACTTCAGTAACTTCGGAAAGATTATTCTCCAACGCTCGAACCAACTCCCCAAAGTGATTCCTCGTCAAATCGGTCAAGCCTCTCAGCTCATCTGTAAAATCCCTAAATTCGTACAAATGAAAATCGGTTTTCGAGTACTTTTCAACCCCCCTCTCAGCACAACGGTGAAGCGTCTCGAGAACGCGCTCGGCCTGCCCTTTCAAGAACAAGAAAAAGGCCAACTTTGCCGAATTGGCGCGCCAAGGCATGTAATAGCCGTACGCGTAGCTCCATTTCAACGCGGTCCTGCTTTCCATTATCAGCTCAAAGGCTTCGATCACCAATTCCACTCCATCTCCGGGTAGTTGTTGGTTGTTTTCGGCTACAACACAAATACGCTCGTCTTTCGCCCACTTGAGGTTGCCCGCTGTGATTTCCCTCGACTTGTGGATGGCCGCCCATCTCTCGTAGTAATGCATGTACCTCTTCAGTTTTTCCTCGTATTCGTCAAACTCTCGTCCTCTTCGTACCTGCATAATAATGACGCCCCGTAAATTTTATTACTAGTTCAATTGGCCAGTGACGGAACAATGATTTTATGTTTCCGGGGTAAAATTAAGCAGTAAATGTATTTTTTTATAGGGGTGCGATAATGCTACCATACACGAAAATTAATAAATATGTCGGTAAAATAATACTGATTTGAGAAAAATACACAAGAATTACAATAGAAAATAAACACCCGAAAAAAAAACCACGCACAACACCGAAAACACACATTTAAAAAAAACACGCACTACACCAAAATAAAATACACTACACCATGAAATACACACTGGAAATTAAGTGTAGTTCTTGTGTACGTTTTTTATGTAGTCTGTGTTTTACACAAGAAGTACCCTGAATTTCGAGTGTGGGTTTCACGGTGTAGTGCATTTTTATTCAATGTGTGTTTTGGTGTAGTGCGTGTTTTTTTTAAATGTGTATTTTTTGTGTAGTGTGAGGGTTTTTTTCGGGTTGAATTACACAAAAACTACACTAGAAAACACACACTGGAAAAAAAGCAGCCCATTGTCACATTATCGACCTGTAAAGCTGAATATGTTGCTGCAACTTCAAGTGTTTGCCATGCTTTGTGGCTGCGTAATTTGCTTAAGGAACTTGGTTTCAACCAAGTTGAATCAACGGACATTTATGTCGACAACAAATCTGCAATTGCGTTAGCAAAGAATCCGGTATTTCATGACCAAAGTAAGCACATCGAGACTCGTTTTCATTTCATAAGGGAAATGCATTGCAAAGAAAGAGGTTCAAGTAAAATTTGTGAAGTCCGATGATCAATTGACCGACATTTTTACGAAGCCTCTAAGGAGAGAAATTTTCGAGAAGCTAAGGAATCGTCTTGGAATGCGAGCATCAAGTTTAAAGGGGAGTGTTGGAAATTAAACTTGAATAAATGAGTCAAAATAATAATTAAATTGTGTTAATTGTAAGTTCATGTACGTAACTATTTTATGTACATGAATGTATTTGTCTAGTCATATTCTAGAGTATTTAGAAAGTTTAAGTCTTGGTCAAATATAATATTTATTATATTAGTCTAGAATTCTCCTATCCCTTGTATAAATAAGAGCGTTCACCATCACTTTGGGAGTAAGAAGAAAATGAGCTGAGTGAACAAGAAATAAAATTGAGAGTACAAGTGTTGATTGAGTTGAGTTGTTCATCTCCTCTCCACTAGAAACTAATAGTTCTTTTATTTATATTTTTAACCCACCTTCCAACATAGATTGCATCCAGGGCCAGGGCACCACTTCAGATTCCAACAACCCTCCACGTAGGATCCGAGAAGATACTTATAATATTTGCCTTTATTATAATCGGAAGCCAACGAGTCGATTAATTCCAGGCCTGGATAGGGTTTGCATTTGGGCTCGGGGCAACGCAAACCCAAGCAACCGGGACCACTATCGATCGAGGCAGCAATGTAGGTGTTAATGGAATTGAGGAAAATTTGATGTTTATTCTTCTCCATAGGAGGCACTATTTATACACATAGAGAGAAAGATATACAAGGAAATAACTAATTACAATGAAATCAAATCTCCTAACTTATGTAAAGCATATCAAATCAAATCCCTAATTATTCTACAAGAATATACATTAACAGCCCCCCTCAAACTCAAGGAGGGTGAGAAACCAACTTGAGATTGTAGATCAAATCACGATGACGTCCCTTAGGATGAGGCTTTGTGAAGATATCTGCAAGTTGATCTTTGGAAGAGACCGAGAAGAGCTTGAGAACACCTTGAATAATGTGTGAACGGATAAAATGACAGTCTATCTCAATATGTTTAGTCCGTTCATGAAAGACATCATTGTGACTAATATGGATAGCACTTTGATTGTCACAATGAAGAGGAATGGGAGAGGATGTTGATACTCCTAAGTCCTTGATAAGCCATCGAAGCCAAAGTAGCTCAGATGTGGTATCCGCAAGAGCACGGTATTCTGCTTCAGTGCTGGATCGGGCAACAAATGTTTGTTTCTTACTTCTCCAAGATATTAGAGATGTGCCAAGAAGAAAACAATAACCAGTAGTTGACCTGCGATCAGTGGGATCTCCAGCCCAATCACTGTCGGAGAATGCTCGAAGAACTAGAGGCGACTCAGCAGAATAGAAAAGGCCATGAAAAAGAGTACCCTTTAGATAACGAAGGATGCGTAGAACGGCAGTATAGTGTAGCGATCTTGGAGCTGATAGATATTGACTCACTTGATGAACCGCATATGAGATATCAGGACGAGTGACAGTAAGATAGACTAGACTGCCCACCAAACGCCTATAAAGTGACGGATTTGACAACAGTGTCCCCCCTGAGGGAGTCAAGTGAGTATTTAGTTCAACTGGAGTGTCAATGATCTTGCTATCAGTGAGTCCGGCTTGAGATAAGAGATCAGATGCATATTTGGCCTGAGTAATGTAAAGACCATCTTTGGAGTGAGTAATCTCAAGTCCCAAGAAGTAGCTGAGGTGACCGAGATCTTTCATTTCAAACTGTTGACTCAGAAAATCCTTCAATTCTTGAATTCCACTAGGATCGTCACCAGTTATGATCATATCATCCACATATAAGAGGAGGAAGATGGAGCCTTTGTCAGTGCGACGAACAAATAAGGCAGAATCATAACAACTGGCAGAGTAACCCAAATGAGATATAGTGGAGCTGAATTTGGCAAACCAAGCTCGAGGGGCTTGTTTAAGACCGTAAAGAGCACGACGAAGATGACAGACCTTGTCTGAATCAACAGATAGTCCTGGCGGAGGTTGCATATAGACGTCTTCAGCTAGTTCTCCATTTAAGAATGCATTTTTAACATCCATCTGAAATAGATCCCACTGACTAGCAGCGGCAACGGCCAAGAGAGCGCGAACTGAGGAGATTCGAGCAACTGGAGCAAAAGTCTCCTCATAATCGATTCCATACTCTTGAGTAAAACCCTTTGCAACAAGACGAGCCTTATATCGCTCAATGGATCCATCAGAGCGAGTCTTGATCTTGTAGATCCACTTACACCCAACAACAGACTGTCCCGGAGGGAGAGTAACAAGATCCCAAGTATGGTTTTTAGATAATGCATCAAGTTCCTCTCTCATGGCATTCTGCCATAAAGGGTCGGTGGAAGCCTCATGATAGGAGTTAGGTTCGTGCAAAGTGGCAAGAGTAGTGTAACAATGATAATCAAGTAGATGAGAAGGAATAGATCTTACCCTATTTGAATGGCGAGGCGGTAGATGGTCTGTAGGATCCTCAAGCGGAGCAGGAGCAAGGGACTCATGTTCAGAACTGGGCAGTTCGTGTGCGACCTGTTCATTTTCCACCTGTTCATTTAGGGTTGGGCTGGAGCGAGGAGTAGAAGTATTTTCAAACAAGTCGATAGGAGAAGGAGACTCGTCCAAAGATATATCTAACTCGGGTGAGGCACTTAAAGAAGGACGAAAATGTGAGAGTTCAACAAAAAGACGATGTTCCCAAAAGACAACATGACGAGAGACACGAAGACGATGAGAGATAGGATCATAACACCGATAGCCCTTTTGAGTTTCTCCATAACCAAGAAAACAACAAAGGCGAGATCGAGGCTCGAGTTTATTGTGTTCGTGTGGTTGAAGAAGAACAAAACAAGCAGTACCAAAAGAGCGGAGGTGATGATAGTCTGGAGATTTCATAAAGAGTCGCTCGTATGGAGTTTTATTTTGGATAACAGGACTTGGTAAACGATTGATAGCATAAATTGCATTCAAGGCAGCTTCACCCCAAAATGGAGAGGGAATTTTTGCAGAGAGAAGGAGAGCACGAACAGTGTCAAGAATATGACGAAGTTTTCGCTCGGCTCGACCATTTTGCTGAGAGGTCCCTGGACAACTAAGGTGATGAATAGTGCCATAGGAACGAAGGATATTTTGAAAGGCATTTTGAGTATATTCAAGAGCATTATCAGATCGAAAAGTTTTGATGCGCTGTGAAAATTGAGTTTCAACCATTTTTGCAAAATTATTATATATTGACAATAGTTCTGAGCGAGATTTCATAAGAAAAATCCAACTATAACGAGAATAATCATCAATAAAGACAACAAAATATCTAGAACCACCAATGCTAGTAACGGGGGAGGGACCCCAAACATCAGAATGAACTAAGTCAAAAATTTTATTGGAAACTGATGAACTAGTATTAAATGGTAAGGCTGGTTGTTTACCCAACTGACACGAGGTGCAATCAAAATGTTCTTTAGACACAGAACCTAACACACCTTTAGAAGCTAATTGCTGAATACGAGATGTAGGAGCATGACCAAGGCGAGAGTGCCATAAAACAAGGGAAGGTGAAGAAGATGTAGGTGTAACAGCAGCAGCAACAGAGATAGGAGCAACAGGTGGAAGACGAAGATTATCCACGGGAAACATACGCCCAATTCTAGGCCCGGTCCCAAGCTCCTGTCCCGTCCTCGGATCCTGAACAATACATCCAGAGTAGTCAAAAGTAAGACGGTAGCCTAGTTCAGCTAATTGTCCCACAGAAAATAGATTATAAGATAGGTCGGGAATGTGAAAAACGTCGGGAACTAGAATATTTGAAGTTGAAACCGGCCCTAAGTTTTTACCATGTAAAGTGGAACCATTTGCTATATGAATGTTTAAAGGGTGTTGAGCAGGTTCAAGTTTAGAAAACAAGGAGGAGTGAGGGGTCATATGGTTGCAACATGCTGAATCGAAAAGCCAAGTTTGAGACTTACCAGGCAGGACTGAGAGAGCAGTGGAAAGAGATGCATTACCAGCCATACGAATAGCCTGAGTTATTATATCTTGTAGTTCAGGTGATGTAAGATGTATAGTGGATCCAGAAGACTGGGACACGGCTGAGGTGGAAGTCATTGGCGGAGTGGACTCGGTAACTGCAACGGTGGATTTGTTCCGACGATAACATGTATCGATGGTGTGGCCCGGGCGTTTGCAGTAGTTGCAAAACTTTTTGGTCGACTGTCTACGCCGGTTATCGAACCCTGAATGAGAAGGTTGCTCTGTGTTGATAGGGGGAGCAACTGCGAGGACATTGAGCTTATTCTGCACTTGAAGAGTTGCAAGACGTGTTTCTTCTCGGACCAACTCATTAACAGCTATATCAAGAGATGGAAGCGGACTACGGTTGAGAAGCTGACCTCGGATCGGTTCAAATGCTTTGTCAAGAGACATTAAAAATTCATAAAGACGAAATTCGTCTCGGACAGCAGCACAAAGTTGAGCATCTTTAGGGCACGCCCAAGCTGGTTCAGATAAATCAATTTGGTCCCATATGTAGCGGAACTGATCGTAATAATCATTGATGGATTGCCCTGGTTCTTGGCGAAGTTGGTGCAATTCAACAACCAACTGATATTTCATAGATCCATGAGAAGTCGAATACCGTTTCGCTAACATGTCCCATGCGGATTTGGCATCGTCATAACTGCCCAATAAGTTGGAAATTGAAGGGATAGATGTATTTCGGAGCCATGTAAGAATCATGTGGTTGTGGCTGTCCCACTCAATTGTACGACCAACAAAGGCAGAGTCTGCTTCATCTTTCGCTTGAACAGGAATAGTGATTGCACCAGTACAATATTGCCAAAGCATTCGACCTTTAAGAAAACTTCGCATAGCTTGAGACCATGATAAGTAATTCTTGGTTCCCTCGAGAGTACTATTGATGGGTCGAGGAAGAAAATTATCTCTTTTGTCCATATTTTTTTTTTTTTTTTTTTTTTTTTTTTTTTTTAATAAAAACGGACGTAAAAACTGAAATCTATGCGAAAAATCGGGTAAAAATGACCTAAAAGTCAAAGTCAACAGACGACTGACGTGGCGGACTGGCGCTGATGTGGCGGGCTGGCGCTGATGTGGCGGGCTGACTCAGCAATGCAAAACAGTGGTGATGTGGCTGTGATGACGTGCGCAAAACAGTGGTGATGTGGCTGTGATGACGTGCGGATGACGTCACAGAGATGCAGCCAACCAAGGGTGGAGCGCGTGAGCGCGTGGTCGCGTGGGCGCGTGTCGGCGCGTGGGCGCGTGAATTCTGCAGCGGCGGTATCTGGCGCGTGACGTCGCGTGTCGGCGAGTGAGCGGCGCGTGTCGGCGCGTGAATGCGTGAAATTCTTCGGCGGTGGTACGGTGGCGCGTGAGACTGCGCGCAGGACCTTCTCGGGGCGCGTGAGGGCGCGTGCGGTCTCCGATGGCAGTCTGGTTTTCACCGATAAGTAGATCGTTTAACGGCGATCTTGGTGGTATGATCAGAATCTGGATCGGAGCGATGACGCACGCACAACAGTGGTTTTATGGTGTTTCGGCGGAAGCGAGAAAAGAGAAAAAAAAAGACGAGAACACCACAATGAAACCAAAAAAAAATTGCTAGATGATCAGAGATTGGCTCTTGGTACCATGTTAATGGAATTGAGGAAAATTTGATGTTTATTCTTCTCCATAGGAGGCACTATTTATACACATAGAGAGAAAGATATACAAGGAAATAACTAATTACAATGAAATCAAATCTCCTAACTTATGTAAAGCATATCAAATCAAATCCCTAATTATTCTACAAGAATATACATTAACAGTAGGATTTCCAGCAATTGGTGCAAAAGGGATGGCCACATGGCCCGGACAACATACTCTCAACCTTGAAACTCTTTAAACAAATCTTACATTGGTTGAACAATTTTAGTGGCTTTAGTTTCTGTAATAACCCGAGTGACCAGCGAACCTGTTTCTCGTCGGCAAACCATTCGTCGAAGACGGAGTTCTTGCTCCAATTGTTTCGGCGCAAGAGGGGGCAGGCAAAGGATCTAGAAACTGAGAGAAGGGTGCAAACTTCGGAGATGTCTTTGTCTTTTAGCTGCCGGATTCGGTTTTCGTCGACCATTGTGTAAGGTGGTTTGTAGAAGGAATCACCATCGGAATATTCCATGGAGCTGTTAGTGACAATTTTGATTGTGTTGGGAAGCTTGTATAAAAATTAAATATATACCATGTGTGTATATGTTGAGTGTAGATTTTACACTCAATACGTTTACTTTACGTGGATCTTTTGTTTAGATTTAATTATATTTGTGCTTTAATTGATTGATTTTGTGTTTTATAGGTGAACAACGAGAATTAGGTGTCCATGAAGGAAAAAAGATCAAAAAGAAAGGAAAAAGTTGCAAATAAGGAAACAAATCAAATTGGAAGAAGGAATCTCGCCACAGTTTTGAGAATGTCCACGATTTCGAGCATATCTCTCTCATACGAACTCCGAATTAGGTGATTTTGGCGGCATTGGAAAGCTAATTTCAAGGGCTACAATTCTTATTTACACAATATTCCAAAAGTCGAACTCCAACATGGCGAAAATCGAAGAACAAGTCCTGATGGGGGAAAGTGGCGGAAATTGATTCCTATTAGGTTTCTACTACTTCCTTATCAAGAAAAGCCTATAAAAGCAACACGTCTCTACACCATAAGGACGAAATTTTACACCACAAAACGCGAAGAACGAAGATCAACGAAGCCTCAATCATAGTTTTTCTTATTTCTTTTATTTTTATTTTGTTTATCATAAGAATTACGAGTAGCTAAGTTTTTATTCTAGGATTTTATTGGAACCCTATGTGGTAATTCGAACCTCTTTTTCGACTTTTATGCAAGTTTAATTCTTCGATTATTTCTTCTATCTTGATCTTATTTAGCGCATGAACGTAGCTAACTTATGTTGCTATTGGTTATTGTTAGAATTGATTGACAATGACCCAAAATACTGCAAGTATCATCGGTTGGTCGGGCACCCAATTCATGATTGCTTCGTATTCAAAGATAAAGTTATGCAGCTAGCTCGCCAAGGGAAGATATCACTTGAAGAGATCAGCGCCACTACAAATTTTGTCGTCACCACTTTTGAGTCCCTTGACATGACGACAACAAACGTACACAGAGGAGATGATGATTGTATCAACATCTCATGCAACGCGATAATTGAAAAGGAGACCGCTGCTAGTGGAACGACTCCGTCTCCAAATGAATTTTGTACCGTGATTGGTAAATGCATGTCAACAATGACTTTCGCTGATGAAGATTTACTTCTTGGTTCCAAACCACACAATAGGCCGTTGTTTGTTGCCGGCTACGCCCGTGAGCAGAAGGTGAATAGGATTTTAATCGATGGAGGTTTTGCAGTCAATATTTTGCCGTTGCAGACTTTAAAGGAATTGGGAATCTCCACGGAGGAGCTCAAAACTAGTCGCTTGATGATCCAAGGATTTAATCAAGAAGGACAAAGGGCCCTTGGTATCATAAGGATAGAGTTGTTAATGGATGATATGTTGTCCACCGCACTGTTCCATGTCATTGATGCAAGAACCTCATATCGCATGCTTCTCGGACGACCTTGGATACATGAGAATAGTGTGGTTCCTTCTTCTTGGCACCAATGTTTCAAGTATTGTCGAGACGGAGTAGTTAAAATAATACTCGCCGATGATAAACCGTTCACCGAGGCAGAAGCCCACTTTGCCGATGCTAAGTAGTATCTTGATGATGAGAAGACGGTAAAGGCCAAAGAAATTCTGCCAGTTGAAGAACCAAAGCGAAGAAATAATCAAGACAATGCTCCTTTAGCGTGTGAGGCTTTGAAAGATTTGATGTTTCCCCTAACACCAATTGATGAGAAGCGATCAACTTCTCAACCACCTAAAGGATTTGTTCATCCCACAGAAGGAACCCAAGAGGAATGCGAAGAATTCTCCGAGTCCCAAATGACAAAACGTTTTGGCTTAAATGCTTATAAACTCTTAGTGAAAGCTGGTTTCAACCCACGTGAAGATTCTACGCTTGGAAGGCTTCCTGCCGAAGTTGTTGGCGAAAAGGTGCATGGCCTCAATACTACTCAGATAATGTTGAAAGAAAAGGGACATGCTGTTCAAAGTCCTAGAGTTGGTCTTGGATTTGTTCCACAAAAGCCAATTCGTATTGCTATCAATAGAGCTACCAGTAATTACATAATCGAAGATGAATTCTCATCAACCGACGATTTTCTTGAAAGTAGAACAAAAGTGAGAAGGACATCCGTCTTTGATAGGCTTACACCATCTGTCTTCGACAGACTTGCGCCATCCGTCTTTGATAGGCTTGGACCACTTAGAGAGTGGGGGCATGAAAAAGGCGACAAACGAGGGTTTGATAGACTTACGCCATCCGTCTTTGATAGGCTTGGACCACTTAGAAAGTGGGGGCATAACAGAAAGAACAAGCAAGATGTGGGTGTCTCTAATACTAAAATCACCAAAACACGAAGGATTCGAAGTTCAATTCCATCTCGCATGAAACGGCGTACTTATTTGACCATATCATGTGGTGAAGAGTTGAAGGCTAAAATGCGAATTGTCGTCTTTACAAAAATCCAAGACGACGAGGAAGATGACAGAGAAAGTGTGGCATCATCGTATCATATCACTTTAAGTGAAATAGACGTGATTGAGGAGGAAGACGCTGAAATTGCTCCACCCGAGCTTGAAGAAGGAGTCAAAGCCACCATCGATGAGTTAAAGGAAATTAATTTAGGAGATGCGGAGAATCCTCGACCAATCTACATTAGCGCTTTACTGGCTGTCAACGAAGAGGAGACTTATATTGAATTGTTGCACGAGTTCAAAGATGTGTTTGCATGGTCTTATAAAGAAATGCCCGGATTGGACCCAAAAGTGGCAATACATCATCTCTCCGTGAAGAAAGGAGCTCGCCCTGTAAAGCAAGGCCAACGTAGATTTAGACCTGAATTAGTCCCTGCAATTGAGGCTGAAGTGAATAAACTTATTGATGTTGGTTTCATTCGAGAAGTCAAGTACCCAACATGGATTTCAAGTATTGTACCTGTCAGAAAGAAGAATGGACAAATTCGTGTATGTGTTGACTTTAGAGATTTGAACGAAGCATGCCCTAAGGACGACTTTCCAATGCCAATAGCCGAACTAATGATTGATGCTACTACGGGCCACGAAGCATTATCATTTATGGATGGGTCATCAGGATACAATCAAATACGAATGGCGCCGAGAGACGAAGAATTAACAACCTTCCTAAGGGCATCTATTGCTATAAAGTAATGCCATTTGGCTTGAAAAATGCTGGTGCTACATACCAAAGAGCCATGCAGAAGATATTTGATGACATGCTCCATAAAGATGTTGAATGTTATGTGGATGACTTGGTAGTTAAATCCAAAAGAAGGGAAGATCATCTCCAAAATTTGAGAAAAGTCTTCGAGCGCTTGAGAAGGTACCAATTGAAGATGAATGCATTGAAATGTGCATTTGGTGTTACTTCGGGGAAGTTTCTTGGATTCGTAGTTCGTCACCGAGGCATAGAAATCGAACAAGCCAAGATTGATGCAATTTTAAAGATTCGCGAGCCTAGGAAAATTCATGAGCTCAAAAGTTTGCAAGGAAAGTTGGCATACCTAAGAAGGTTCATTTCAAACTTAGCCGGTCGATGTCAACCATTCAGCCGACTCATGAAGAAAAATGTTCCCTTTGAATGGGATGAAGCTTGCACTAGTGCCTTTGAAAGTATAAAATCGTATTTAACGAAGCCTCCTGTGTTGATTGCACCAGTGCCTGGACGATCGTTAATACTCTATATTGCTGCTCAAGATCGATCCGTCGGGGCTTTACTAGCCCAGGAGAATGATGATGGAAAAGAGAGCGCCTTATACTACTTGAGTAGAACAATGACACCAAATGAATTGAACTACTCGCCAATCGAAAAGACATGCTTAGCGCTCATTTTTGCAATTCAAAAGTTGAAGCATTATTTTCAAGCACATGTTGTCCGCCTAATCTCAAGGATGAATCCTCTAAAGTATGTTATGTCAAAACCCGTCCTATCTGATAGACTCGCAAGGTGGTACCTACAATTGCAGCAGTTTGACATAACATATATTCCACAAAAGGCTGTGAAAGAGCAAGTCCTAGCCGATTTCTTGGCAGATCATCCTATCCCTGCAGAGTGGGAGTTATCCGATGATCTACCCGATGAAGATGTTCTTGTGATTGAAGCTAGTCCTCCTTGGAAAATGTACTTTGATGGAGCTTCTCACAGAGAAGGAGCGGGCGCCGGAGTAGTATTTGTCACATCCAACGGCGAAGTGTTGCCTCACTCTTTTACCTTAACACAAAATTGCTCTAACATTTTTGCTGAATATCAAGCTCTAATCCTTGGGCTAGAAATGGCAGTTGATATAAAGCAACTAAAATTGGAGGTATATGGAGACTCCAAGTTGGTGATCAATCAGATACTCGGATCATACGAAGTTAAGAAGCTCGATTTACTCCCTTATGTCGATTATGCTAAAAGACTTATCGGATACCTTGGTGATGTGACGATAGAACATGTGCCTAGAAATGATAACAAACAAGCAGATGCATTGGCAAAACTTGCTTCTACTTTAGCCATGCCCGAAGACGGAGCTCATACATCAATTTTCAAGAGGTGGGTCGTACCACCAATCGTTGAACATGGAGAAATTGAAGAAGACGAAACTCGAGTGGTTTACGTGTTTGAAATCGAGAAGGAAGATTGGCGTCAATCATTTGTGGATTACTTGAAGTACGAAAAGTTGCCTAATGATCCACGTCAAACAGTTGATATTCGACGTCGTGCGGCTCGTTTCATCTACTACAAAGATACACTTTACAGACGTTCATTTGATGGAGTCTTCTTGAGATGTTTAGGTGATGACGAAGCCATTCAAGCCATAGAAGAAGCTCATTCCGGAATTTGCGGCGCCCATCAGTCAGGACCCAAATTACATTTCCGAATAAAAAGAATGGGTTATTATTGGCCATCTATGGTAAAGGATTCCATGGAGTATGCCCAAAAATGTCAACCTTGTCAATTTCATGCAAACTTTATTCATCAACCGCCGGAGCCATTACACCCTACTGTTGCCTCATGGCCCTTTGATGCTTGGGGTTTGGATGTAGTTCGACCTATGACAAAGTCTTCCGCTGGACATCTCTATATCTTGGCAGCAACAGACTACTTTTCCAAATGGGCTGAAGCAGTGCCTCTTCGAGAAGTAAAAAAGGAGAATGTTGCCGATTTCATCCGCATCAACATCATCTACCGTTACGGAGTTCCTCGATATGTGATCACAGACAACGGAAAGCCATTCTGCAACGGTGTGATAGATAAACTTTGTGAAAAGTTTGGCTTCAAGCAAAGAAAGTCTTCAATGTACAACGCTGCCGCCAATGGACTCGCCGAGGCCTTCAACAAGACTTTATGTAATTTGCTGAAGAAAGTGATTGCCAAGTCAAAACGCGATTGGCACGAAAGGATGGGAGAAGCTTTATGGGCTTATAGAACAACGTATAGAACACCTACTCAAGCCACTCCATATGCGTTGGTGTACGGTGTGGAAGCGGTCTTGCCTCTTGAAAAACAAATTCCATCATTGAGGATAGCTATACAAGAAGAACTCACTCAAGAAGAAAATGCCCGTTTGCGTCTTGCAGAATTGGAAGCTCTTGACGAGAAAAGATTAGAGGCACAACAAAGTATTGAATGCTACCAAGCTCGTCTTTCTAGGGCGTTTAACAAGAAGGTGCGGCCAAGATCGTTTCAAGTTGGAGATTTAGTACTTGCCGTAAGGAGGCCCATCATCGTCACTCATAAAACGGGAAATAAATTTACTTCAAAGTGGGATGGTCCTTATGTCGTCAAAGAAGCATACACAAATGGAGCGTACAAGTTGGTTGCCGAAGATGGTTTAAGAATTGGTCCGATAAATGGAAAGTTCTTGAAGCGGTACTATGCATGAAGTGGAGGAGAAGGCTTCTGGCCCGCATGAGTTGAAACTGTGCACGGCAAAAAAAAATATATATCTTTTTTTTCTTTGAACTACGTTATGACTTGATCCCATTCGGGGTACGTAGGCAGCTTGGATATTCTCTAAGTTCAGTCCTCTCCTAAAAAAAAAAAAAAAAAAAATCTATCTTTTTTTCTTTGAACTACGCTATGACTTGATCCCATTCGGGGTACGTAGGCAGCTTGGATATTCTCTAAGTTCTGTCCTCTCCTAAAAAAAAAAAAAAAAAAAATCTATCTTTTTTTCTTTGAACTACGTTATGACTTGATCCCAATCGGGGTACGTAGGCAGCTTGGATATTCTCTAAGTTCAGTCCTCTCCTAAAAAAGAAAAAAAAAAAAAAAAAAAATCTATCTTTTTTCTTTAAACTACGTTATGACTTGATCCCATTCGGGGTACGTAGGCAGCTTGGGTATTCTCTAAGTTCAGTCCTCTCCTAAAAAAAAAATCTATTTTTTTTCTTTGAACTACGTTATGACTTGATCCCTTTCGGGGTACGTAGGCAGCTTAGATATTCTCTAAGTTCAGTCATTTCCTACAAAAAAAAAAAAGAAAAAAAAAAGGGAAAGTGTTAAGGGCAACCTTCTCAGCAAAAGTGTCATTTGTTCGAGAATGACTGTCCACACTGTTATCAATATGAAGATCTTGTGGTTTTGAAGATTGCGGGTCCCTCTTCGGCCTTTTCCAATGACGTTCTATGTGGCTATCGTCACTCTCATCCGATGGAGGCAAAACGTTCCTCTTCTTTATATCTCTAGGAGGGTTTTTAGTTTGGAGCACATTTTCGCGAGAAAGATTGCCGAGACTATTTCTTGCCTCATCTTCTTTGTCTTCAAGTGGAATCTTACTTAACTCCAAGTTCACCAAACTCGCAACTTTATTTTCAAGATAAGTTCCGTAAGCTTCAGTCCACCATCTCTTATAGCCGTCCGTGTGAAACTTCCTTGGATTTTGAGGAACGACGGAAAATATCACTTTAGACATGGACTCGAGCAAAACACATAGACGCCAATAACGGAGTCCATCTATTAAAGAAGCCTCGCGAACGTCTTCATCAAGTACTCCCGGCACATCTTGATAAAACCCAAACTGACGGCTAAACAGATGAGGACTATATGGCTCAATAATGAAACGATTACCACGCCGCAAGGAGAGATAGCTCGAGCGAATGGCGATGAAATAATTTCCTCGGACCCTTTTGTTGTTCCATCATCAACATATAAAGAAGACTCGCTCCTAGGGATCGTGGTGCGAGTCCAAGACATAAGATCTCCTTTGTGAATCCGTTTGCGTGCATCCGCGGGAGTGTAGTATCTAGCGCTTCCTTCTCCGGAATAAGATATCATCTTTGGGCCATCGACGGCTACGCCTTGCAGAACTTGACAATGGGTCTTGAAATAAAGCGCCAACCAACTATAGACAAAGTGAATAGGAAACGGAGAGTTCTCTTGATGGGGTCTCAAGGATCTCGAAATCCTATTTATGCCGTTGAAGATGCTTGCTAAGACAGGAACTGCAAGAGAGACTTCTTCGCCACTCGCCATTATGCTAGCCATCTTGAACGTTGAAGGACGTATCATGCCTACATCATCGGTGGGGAGAACGAAGGTGCAAAGCCAACAAGCCAAATGGGCCGCCAAGTATGTCTCGGACCTCAGTTCGACATCAACGCTAATGCTCGAAAACACAGCTTCTTCAATGTTGATCCATTTTGCATGTGCTTCAATATTGCCGGAAGGATTGTGAGTTGACTTGGGGCGAACACCCTTCTTTTCTTTGCGCGGAGGAGGCTGATTGTATTTCTTCTGTTTCTTCGACCAAAACTGAATCCAGCTTTCGACAGAGACATTGGAGGACGGACCTTTAGAGCACTTCCGAAGTAAGTGGTAGGCATGGAATAGATGTCGGCATGAACGGTGAGAATATCGAACACCCTTTGCATCGGAACCAACAAGTTCTTGAGAGGCAGGGACAACTTCATCGTAAAAGAGCCCGGTTAACGGTAGCCCGGAGAGGATGTGCAAATCCCATAAAGAGATAGACATTTCTCCATGAGACGTCAAGAGGGTATTTGTAGTCGGACACCATGCCTCGAAGAACGCCTTCATAATTTCAGAGTTGTAGTCGTACGTGAAGAGGGAGGCATATACAGAATCATAGATCTTCGCGGACTTTAGCTTGTGCTGGCAACGACTGAGAACGTCTTCGGTCCATTCCCAGTACCCTCTGAAGAACTGAAAGCCGCCGGAAAGCTCGAGAGTATCTCCCCACTTGACTTTTCCTTTCACGATGTTGCCACCCAAAGTCGGCAGAAGGCTCGGACTGCTTGACTCTTCCGGAAGCGAGGATCTGTCGGGTTTATGATTTGATGCTCGCAAATTGTACACGTACTCGTACTTATTATGAGGATGCTCGTGGGACCAAACGGACATGCGATTCGGAGTCGTGAGACGTGGCCATTGCTTTGCGTAAGAACCGATAAGGGGGGCATAAATCGTCAAGACGGTTCCTTTGTCGTTCGGTTGGTAACGATCGTCAAGAATTACCAATTGCTCGTCGCCTAAAGAAGAGAAAGCTTGCTTGAAACAAACCATCGGAAAATCTATCAAAACAGATCAAAGAAAGAGCGATAAGTTCGATGTGGTGAGATAAAAAAAAAAAAAAAAAAAAAAAAGCGAGGGCAAGGAATCGTGCTAAAACCACCCAATGGCCAAACCTAAAACGAAGAAAACAGGACCGGTGAGTTAAAGAAAGGAATCAAAAGCACGTTCAAGTGTCAACAAAAAAAAAAAAAAAAAAAAAGGGAAACGTTTTTTTTTTTTTTTTATGGAACTGACCTGAAATCGAGCCAAAGAAATTAGCAAAACCACCGAAAAAAAAAAGAGCTAAATTCGATGGAGGTGAAAATCCTTTTGCAAGAGGGTCGATGGTTGAAAGCTGATGAATAAAAAAATTGGTAGGGGTCACCTCCTTTTATAAGCTAGAAAAATAACTATCCCATTCATGTTAGGATTGAGATTTTCCAATCACAAGGAGTTTGAAATCTACTGGGAGAAGGATAATAGGTGTTTGAGTTGAGAAAATTAAGTTGCAAAAGAATCCTTTTGCATGAATAAAACGTGAGGTGCTGGGACTATCTCTTGCTGCGCACGGAAATCGAATTGCAATTGGAATTGCATTCAAAATCTGATTTTGAGTGGGCCCACAAAAAAAAAATTAAAAAATTAAAAAAAAATAAAGCTACAATTGGGCCCTTGAAATGAAAGGATAATTTCAAATAGATCCTCAAGTCAAGAAAAATGTATTTGCAGTTGGGTCCTTCACTAAAGCCAAAAGAATATGACTTATTAGTTAAGTCCCTCAAGGTGAAGGATTTATTAAATTACACCCCACAATTGAGGAAAGGGATTTTGAAGCAAGCAAATGAAAAGAAATTCAAGTACTTCAAGTCTCGTCTCACAAACATTCAATATGTTCTTTGCCGAGACTAGAAGTGGGGGCATTTTGTAGACGAATAAAATTTAAGCCAATTAAATGGCTAAATTATATATGGAATAAAGTTTGATCCAATGGCATTTGTGTAATTATACATAGCCAAAGGACTTAGATGCCAATTGAAGACCCGTATATATGCGGTCACATATATATTTTTATCAATTATATATTTTGGAATTTAATTAAATTAATTTCTAATTTAAATAAATAATTGATATTAAATATATATTGGCCAATAAGATTATTTCTTTTCTCCCAAGTTATAAAGAGATAAATATCAATTAATTATTGGCCAATAGAATTGTTTCTTCTCTTCCAAGTTACAAGAGATAAATATCAATTTCAATTGGGCCAATCAAATCGCGCCACATCATCAGTGAGACTCATCAAGGACTCTTATTCTACCACTATAAATAGGGACCCTCCCTTCACAATTCAAAACACACAACTGAAGGAGCAGAAACCGTAGGAGCAAAAGTTCTCTCTACAATTCAAGAAGCAAGGAAGAAGAATTCGTAGGAGGTAAGATTCTCTCTCTACATTCAAAGTGTTCTTCGTCAAATTCGAGGTGTTCTTGAGCAAATTCAAGGCATTCTTCATCAAATCCAGCGTTCGATCCGAGATAATGGTGCCAAACCTTCGGATTAACGTTAATCAATTCAAGTCAAGATCATTGGAAGATTGAAGGGCCAAATCCATCAAGAATTTCAAGATCTTCAAGTCAAATTTAGTCAAAGTTCAACGTTCGATCCGAGATTCAAGTCGCAAGACCCTTGGAAAACGTTATTCAAATCCAAAACCAAATCCGGAGAAGATCAAGTCAACGACTCGACTCCGAAAATTCAAGTCAACCATATATTGTTCTAGAGAGAAGAATCAGAGGATTAAAATAGAGATTGTAACCCGCAATTTTTTATTTCAATAAATAAAAATTATCTTTGTTCAATTTTTCTTGTTTGTTTATATCGCAGATAAGAATTCGTTGTTACACTTGCATCTTTCTCCCAACACATCACCTGGATCACTCTCTCTCTCCACAATTGCAAGAAAAATAAAAACTCTCATTTCACTCTCTCATCTCATTCCTCCATAATTTTGTTATATTCCCGAAGAATTTTGTGAAGGTCCAACCTATTGAAGTAATCCGACGTTTAGAAGGAAGCCCAACTCGTTTGGATCGATTAAATGACATAAACATTTAATTTAGTAATGTGGGTGTAGGATTTAAGGATATATGTTAATGGGAGAAGATGAATTTTAATTTGGGGCATAAAGTAATCAAAGTTGGTTATGAATCTGAATTTGGGGGTTTTGAATTTTTGGAGGTTTTAAATAAAATGTGGGGTTATCACTGAATTATGATTTTAATTTGGAGGTTTTATATGAAATTAGGATTGTAAAGCAAAAATTAAACCTCCGCCTCAGCATTTGGAGACGGAAAGGATACAAACTGTCCCAGTCTGTAGTTGAGGGGCATTTTGGGTCGGACCCCTGTATACTACTCCCTCCGTTATAATATAACCGTCGTTTACGGTTAATGCACACTAATTAACAAAGTTAATAAATACTCTTGATTGTAGGGAAAATAATTCATATTTGACAAAATTGGTCCTTTTGTGGCTTTAAATCTTTATTAGTTCATTAATCTCATTAATTGTAGGGGTGACTAAAACTAATCCCAATTTTTTCTCACTTCAATATCGAAAAATAAAAATTGGATAATAAATAGGTAATGACATAAATATCTTTAATGAAAAAAAATACCACACAAATATTAAAAATCTCATTTTTCTTTCTTCAACATCAAACACACATAAATCCTCTTAAACCCATCTTTTCTTTACAAATCCCTTGTTATTGATATGAGGAAAAAAAATTGTTTGTCTAAATTGTATTTTGTTTGATGAAGGGCATTTTAGTACTTTGCTAATATTTCATTTTATTTAAGGTATTAAATGAAGAAAAAAATGTAAGAACTTATATAAAAAATGGTTTTAAATTTGGTGATACTGAAGTGAGCAAAATTAGGAATTAGTTTTAGTCGCCCCTTAATTATAGGGTAAAATCAAAAAGAAAATATTACCCTATCTTGAAATTCTAAAGTAACACTTAATATCGAAAATAAAATTATGGCTAAAAGTACGCTTAAAAAAAGTAACTAATTAAACCCTAGGGCCGGGCCGTGTTGATTTTTATTTTTGATCAAAGAAGATACGTGTAAGTTGCAAGTATAATGCAACAAAGACTCTATTAGGTTATTACTTCTTATCCTTCCATCTTCATTGCGTCCTGCAAAAACAAAACAAAAAAAAACATGGTTTCTGTTTTGCAGGCGGAAAGCGGCCTCCGCCGCCGGAAAAAACACTACACAATCCTGACAGAAGAAAGAATCCGACAGCTACAAGAGAACCACATCTCCCAAGTCTGCAGCCTCCTCTCCGTTTCTAAAACCCTAGCATGCACCCTCTTGCGCCGCCACAATTGGAGCCTCACCTCGATTTCCGACAGATGGCTCGCCGAGGAAAAATTGCTATCCCCACAACAAGAATTGCTAAATCCACTACCACCAAACGAAAAAAACAACATCTGTAATATTTGCTTCGAAGTGGTTAGTAGTGAGGGAATGTTGTCTTGCCCATGTGGACATCCGTTTTGTTCTAATTGCTGGAAGTATTACATAATGGTCTCGATCAACGATGGGCCGGGATGCGTATCTTTGAGTTGCCCCGAGCCCGGATGCAAATCCAGCGTGGGCCCGGAGTTGGTCGACTCCTTAGCTTCGGATGAAGATAAGGAAAGGTACTACAGATACTTTCTCCGATCCTACGTGGAGTGCCACGGGAACATGAGGTGGTGCCCTGCCCCACGATGCGATCGTGCGGTCCAGATCGAAACGCGCGTGCGGAAAAACTACGACGTGGCGTGCGATTGTTCTCACAGGTTCTGCTGGAACTGCGCGGAGGAGTGCCACCGCCCGGTCGACTGCAAGACCGCGGCGGAGTGGATCGAGCTGAGTAGTTCCGAGGAGGATATTAACACCGCCACGTGGATTATGGCTTTCACGAAGTCTTGTCCGGGTTGTGGCACTAACATCGAGAAAAACGAGGGTTGCAATCGCATGATTTGTCGATGGTCGTGCGGACAGCAATTTTGCTGGCTGTGCCTTCAACCGTGGAAAATCCACACCTACACTATTTGCAACGAGAAGAAGGAATGCAATACGAAATTTACGCGTGCCACGAAAATTTTGACGAAATTCGTAAGTTACTACGAAGGATGGGTTTCGAATCATGTGCGCATGCGAATTGCCGTGTTGGATCTTGGAACGGTGCTCGATAAGTTGGGGGGTGAATATTCGAATTACGTCAAGTTCGGGTTCTTGATTGAAGCGTTGGAGCAGATTGTCGAATGCAGGAGCATGTTGAAGTGGAGCTACGTGTACGGTTACTACTTGTCCTTGACGAAGAAAGCGACCAAGATTGAGTTTTTCGAGTTCTTGCAAAAGCAGGCGGAGGTCAATATCGAGAGGCTTCACCGTTGCGCTGACAAGGATATTGAGATGTACGTGAACAACGATTTCGATAGGGCTGATTTTGTGGGTTTTCGGAGGAAGCTTGTGAATTTGACAAATGTCACGAGGAACTACTTTGAGGAGTGGGTTAGAGCGTTGGAGAACGATCTTTCCAAAGTTTCAATCTTTCCGAAGTTATTGAATTTTCAATTTCACAAATTGATGAAACGGACATGCAAATGGAGTCGAGTTCTTAGGTAGTGAGACAACCCGAAGAAGGTTGGGTGAATATATATATACATTGACTTGCCGTTGTCCATATTTGGTATGATTATATTTTGGAATTTCGTATGATCATATTTCGGAGTCGTTGATCTTATTTGAAGTCGTGTGATTATATTTCGGAGTCGTTGATTTTATTTGAAATCGTGTGATTATATTTTCGGAGTTTTGTGTGATTATATTTCGGAGTTTCGGGTCGTTCGGTTTGATAGAAGATGTAACTACATAGGACATGATTATGTTATGTTGGTTATGTATTGTGTATTTACAATTCATCTATCATTTATAAATTTCCAATTTTCGCACTTTCTCAATACTTAGAAAATTTAAAAGAAATTTATGGTCTTCATAACTATAGATTTTAGGTCAAATATTTTAGGAGCTATTCAACTAATGAAACATCTAACTAGATTTATTTTATTTAACCCGTACTCGATTTGGATAAGCTTCAATCGCTAGTAATTCGCTAGTAATTCATTCCCGGCCCGAGAAAAATGATACTCATATACGAAATCTTCCGGTACTAAGAGTGCATCACAGGTAAAAAAATTAGAAAGCATATATACTATTGGCAATAAGATTTGCAGATTCGAAATAAACGTAAAGATAAAACGGTAGGGTTTGTCCGGTACACGTACTACTTAGCGTGTCCGTCTCTTAGAAGGAGCTGGTGGGTTTTGGACAGGTTTCTTAATTTCAGTAACTTTGGAAAGATTATTCTCCACCGCTCGAACCAACTCCCCAAAGTGATTCCTCGTCAATTCGGTCAAACCTCTCAGCTCATCCGTAAAATCCCTAAATTCGTACAGATGAAAATCGGTTTTCGAGTACTTTCCAACCCCCCTCTCAGCACAACGGTGAAGCGTCTCGAGAACGCGCTCGGCCTGCCCTTGCAAGAACAAGAAAAAGGCCAACTTTGCCGAATTCGCGCGCCAAGGCATGTAATACCCGTACGCGTAGCTCCATTTCAACGCGGTCCTGCTTACCGTTATCAGCTCAAAGGCTTCGATCACCAATTCCACTCCATCTCTGGGTAGTTGTTGGTTGTTTTCGGCTACAATCGAAATAAGCTCGTCTTTCGCCCACTTGAGGTTGCTCGCCGCGATTTCCCTAGACTTGTGGTTGGCCGCCCATCTCTCGTAGTACCTCTTCAGTTTTTTCCTCGTATTCGTCAAACTCTTGTCCTCTTCGTACCTGCATAATAATGGCGCCCCGTGAATTTTATTAGTAGTTCAATTGGCCAGTGACGGAACCGTGATTTTATGTTCCCGGGCTAAAATTAAGCAGTAAATGTATTTTTTTTTCTAGGGGTGCGATAATGCTACCATACACGAAAACTAATAAATATGTCGGTAAAATGCTCCTGATTTGAGAAAAATACACAAGAATTACAATAGGAAATAAACACTCGAAAAAAAAACCACGCACTACACAGAAAACACACACTAAAAAAAAACACCCACTACACCAAAACACACATTGAATAAAATGCACTACATCGTGAAACACACACTGGAAATTAAGTGTACTTCTTGTGTACGTTTTTTATGTAGTCCGTGTTTTACACAAGTACACTGAATTTCCAGTGTGTGTTTCACGGTGTAGTGCATTTTATTCAATGTGTGTTTTGGTGTAGTGCGTGTTTTTTTAAGTGTGTGTTTTTGGTGTAGTGTGTAGTTTTTTGTCGGGTTGAATTACACAAGAACTACACTGAAAAACACACACTGGAAAAAAAAACCACGGAGTACATCAAAAACACATACTGAAGGAACGATAATCGAGCCCTAGTTGCGTACCTGTTGCAGTCATAGTGTGCTTCTTTCCAGGGTGTGAGGCAGAGCCAGCAAAACTTGTGCTTGCACGGGTCCCGACAGGTGATGTGATTGCAGCCGTGGTTTTTCTCTATCTTCCGACCGCACTCAGGGCACGGCTTCGTGTACGACAACAGCCACTTGTTGTTGTTCTCCTCCGACTCGTTTTGCTTAGTCCACTTCCTCACCGTTTCGCAGTCCGCGGGGCGGTGGCACTCATCCATGCACTTAAAGCAGAAGCCGCGCGAACAATCGCACGCCACGTCGTAGTTTTCCCGCTCCACCGATTCGATCCGGACCGCACGATCGCACCCATCGCCCGGGCACCACCTCATGTTCGTGTGGCACCCCACGTAGGATCTGAAAAAGTACCGAGCGATTAAGGAAAATGAAAGTTTAAATTTAGTAATGCGCGTGTAAGGTTTATGGATGTATGTTAATGGGAGAAGATGAATTTTGATTTAGGGAAGTGAAAGATGGTTATGAATTTGAATTTACAGATTTTGAATTTTTTTTGGTTTTAAATAAAATTTGGGGTTATCACTGAATTATGATTTTAATTTGGGGGTTTTAAATCGATTTAGGGTTATAAAGCAAATATTAAAAGGCTCCCAGTTTGTAGTTGAGGGGGCATTTTGAGACGGACTCTATAGTCTAGGGGTTTAAATGTACTTACCCCTATTATATGGGATTATTTTGTAGACCCCCCTCATTTCCAAATTATAGAGAACTAACTACCAAGTGGATTACACTTTAGGGGAAATCTCCTCATTTCGAAAATATTGACATACCCCCCTGAACCACCCTGAAGTCTCTATAATACCCTTTTAAAACCAGTTTTAAGCCCTAGCCCAACACATTTCGGTCTCTCTCTTCCTCTCCCAAATTCAAAATCCCGCATCCACAAACCTCCCACCGGTGAAATTGCTTTCCGGAGTCATAACTCTCTTCGGTGGTCGGAATTCGATGGTTTAACTACCGTTGGATTCCTCTCGTCGAGCTCTTTCTTTTGGTGGTGATTTCATTCAGTTTGGAGTGTTGATCTATTTCTGCAATTTTTTTCATTTGACGACGGTGGTCTTGCCGGAGCTTTGTTTTGTGTTCCACCCGTCGAAATTTGACGGGCTACCCACCGTTGGATTCCTCTCGTCGAGATCTATATTTTTATGTTTTCAGATTTATTTCTATATTTTTTTGCATTTGTGGGCGCGCGGAACCGTGGGTGATTATTAGCGGCGTCTAGGGTTTTGGTAGGAGGCGAGGGGGGTGAGGAGTCACTGTCTGTTTGATTTAAAATCTGTAGCCCAGCAATAACCTCTCTCTCTCTATCTCTCGTTCTCTTTGTGTTTGTTGATTTTTGAGTGTTTTGATGTTTCTTCAAATTTTGTTGATTTGCACTAAAGTAATTTTTTTTTGTTTATTTTGCAATTGCAACTTAATGAAGGCCATTGATCATTTCCTTGAAGGTGTCAAAATTTTTGTTTGAAGTTACATCTGCTTTGTTCAACAGACTATATGCATTATTGTACATTACTATACATTACTATAGTAACTTGTAGTTACATATGCGTATATTTGTGTATTTTCGATTTGTATTTTATTGGTTCTGAGGTGATTTATAATAAAAATATTGAAATTTGTAAATTTTTGTTGGGGTTTTATGAATTTCTTTTGTATAAGCCAATATTCGTGTGTGTATACAATTGATCGACTAAAAAACTGGGGAAAAAAACGAACATAACTACGAATTTCTATAGGTACTATAGTTACATGTAGTTATTTTCAGTACACTAAACATATTGTTTTGAAAATTAAAAAAATAATAATAATAATAATAATAATAATAATAATAATAATAATAATAATAATATATATATATATATATATATATATATATATATATATATATATATATATATATATATATATATATATATATATATATATATATATATAAATTTAACAAAGAGGATTATTATTTAAAAAAAAAGGAAAAAATAATAAATAAATCAGAAAAATGATAAATGCAGGACCATAAATACTGGATACAGTTTGGCCAAAAATTGCTTCTAAGGGTAGTATAGTACTTTCGCTTCTCCAGGGGGTATGTCAAATGATGATTTGGACTTGGGTTTATCACTAGTTTATTTGATGGCTGGGGGTATGTCAAATAACCCCTTATTATATATACTCCCTCTATTCCTAAATAATAGTCGTTTTTCACATTTTCACAACTCTTAATAAATATGTCTTGATTTTAGGAAAATATATATTATTAGACTAAAATACCCTTATTTATTAATTTGGTGTTGAAGAGTTAATAAGTGCATAATTAAAAAATATATAATTAATGTAATGTTGAAATTCTAAATAAGGTGTTTCTACCATGAGATCATGTGTTCTAAACTTATATGAGATATCCCTTCAAATTGCGACACGTGTCCCATAAAAAAAACCTATTTTTTCCTCATTTATGTATTGTCGCAAATACCCTTTGTACAATTATTATTTTTAAAAAATTGGCAATTATAAATTATTAATGAAATGTCAATTTTACCTTCTCTGTTTTAATGCAATTTTAAATCTATATTTATTGCTGAATTAAAATTTATAAAGTCAATTATATCATTATTCGTAAAAATCATTAAACCACCCATCGAAAATTGCATCAACCTGAATTCAAACTTGTGACCATCTGAAAACATTTAAGAATACTTACCATTAAGACACAACACATAATTGACAATAAACTAATAATACGGATATGTATCACAAAGCTACAATTTATAATGGTTATAAAACCTATATAAATAATGTTAAATAAATTATTAATTCTCATATAATTATTATTATATATTAAAAATATCCCATGCTAACAAATATTTATATAATATAATTTAAAAATCTAAGGAAATGCTGATCAACTCGAGTAATTTAAAAATGAATTTCGAAAGAATTTGAAGTTTGAATTGAATCGTAAATTGTAAGATTTAATTAAATCGTAATATTTGAATCAATTAAACTCATGTGTTTTCTATTCAAAAAAAATATTCAAAGATTTGATCGATTAAGCTCAATTCATTTCAATTCGTAGACAATATTCAAATATTTGAATTGGTTAAAATCAATAATTTACAATAGCGTATTAATCAAACTATGTATAGGTAAAGTTTAGTATCTTTTTTTTATTGAATTTTATAAGAAAAAATAATAAAATTTAATTCGTAAAAGTCGTAAGATTTAATCGGTTCATGGTTCGATTAAATCTTACGATTTATGATTTGATTCTTACGATTTTACGAATTAAATTATTATTATTATTTGGTTAGAATTGAATTAAAAGGATAGTAGACTTTAATTATAAATAGGTAACTCGATTAATATGTTCTTGTCAGTTGTTGAACTTAATCGATTCAAATTTTTGAATAATATTTACAAATTAAAAGGATTTGCGCTTAATTGATTCAAATCATACGCTTTAATTAATCTTATGATTTGATTCTTACGTAATATAAGAATTATTTTTTTATGATAAAATTGAATTAAAAATGTATTACACTTTAATTAATAGTAGTTAATTTGATTAAAACGTTCTTGTCAATAGTTGAGCGCGCTAATTAATCGATTCAAATATTTGAATAATGTTTACGAATTGAAAGGACTTGAGCTTAATTGGTTCAAATATTACGCTTTGATAAAATTTTACGATTTACGATTAGGTTCTTACATGTGTTAGGAATTAAATTTATTATTTTTTATGACAAAATTGAATTAAAAAGATATTAGAGATTACTTATAAATAGTTAAATCAATTATGTAACACGTTATGTCAATAGTTGAGCAACCGATTCAAACATTTGAATAATGTTTACTAATTGAAAGGATTTGAACTTAATCGATTCAAATCTTACTATTTGATTAAATTAAATATTAAAAGAAAATTCACAATATAGTATTTGTAGTATATAATTTTATTTTAAAGTAAGAAAACTACTAACTGGAATGAGTTACAATTTTTTCTTCTCCTAAATAAATATATTATTTTATTTTTTTATTTTGATTTGTCACACTATCGATTTAATAACATAGTGATTTTGAATTAAGTTATGCATTTTTTTATATTTAATTGAGCATTCTTTACATTTTTAAATGGTGGAGTTTATTAATATTTTTAATATTATATATTTAATGATAGATGTTTGGCGTATTGAACTGCAATTCTTTATATTTTTCAAACTTTATTATATTAAATTTGTTAATAATTTATTTAATATCATTTAATAATAATGAATGTTGCAATTAATATTTTAATTAACTGTATTTATACAATTATGGTTAAATAAGTCATAATAAGTTATTGTGCTTGGGTGGTTAGGAGTCATAAATATGTTTAGATGTTCCAAGTTCGAACTCTAATCAATGCATTTTTTTCGATTATTTATTAAATAAAACTCTGTCACAATGAATTTAAATTAATTATTTAATTAAAATATAGTAGGGGGTAAATTAGATAATTCAATGTTAATCAATTTTATATTAATTTAATAAAAAAAATAATGGAAGGATAATTTGGTAAAATACTTCATTTTTTAGAACATAAGTTATTTTTCTAGGGTCCAGATTTAATCTTAGAAAATTAATGGTGATTAATACATATCTTATATAAGTTTAAAACACAAGTGATGTAAAACGGAGAGAGAGGGAGAGTAATATAATTTAGGCTGCAGCTATATGCAAGACTAATTCCACTTGTGCAAGACCAAATTAAAATTTTCAATGTATAAATACTATAATACCCTTACTTATTAAAAAAATAGAAAATTCCAAATGTGCAAGACCAAAAATTCAAAAACACAAAAAACCCTATCACAAGACTACAAAATTACAAGACCAACTCTCATCTTCTCCATCTTCCAAAACCCGCAAGACCTTTCTCCTTCCTCAAAACCTAAACATTCAAAATCATCAAAACTCAACAAATCTTACAAAGATGGCAAGTATGGAGTCAGAACACATCAAAATAGAAGATTCTAAGGTGGAAGAACCCAAGAAGATATGCATTTATGGGTTTTTTAGCTAGAATATCGTTTTTCCAAAAACAATCCCGCGCAAACGAATTCGACATTTACAGGTCAAACTTTATAGGTAACAATCGACATTTAGATGTCGATTTTGAGGTATAAAATTCGACATTTGGCAATGTTGAATTTGTGCTATAAATTCGACATGTCAATGTTGATTTTTACCTATGAAATTCGACGCTTAAGCGTCGATTTGTAGCATAGTTTTTCGACACCTTGGTCTCGATTTTTACCAGTTTCAAATTTAATTTGTTTTTCCTCTTTTTTGGGCAGATTTAGGTCACTCATGATTGTGAGCGCTGGGGCTGACGGCGGCGACGATCGGCGGTGGAGCTTGGACGACGGAGCTTGAGCGGCGGAGAAGATGGGCGTAGATAGGGTTTCAGGAGGGGGTCTGTTTGTTTTTTTAATTCACGCTTCTATGTTTTCTTTTTTTTTTGTTTTTTCTTCCTCATTATTTATTTATATTTGGTCTTGCATGAGAAAAAAAAGACTAGGGCCGGCCGTGTTGATTTTTATTTTTGATCGAAGAAGGTATGTGTAAATTGTAAGTATAATGCGACAAGGACTCTATTAGGTTATTACTTATTATCTTATTATCCTTCCATCTTCATTGCGTCCCGCACAAAAAAAAAGAAAAAAAAAACATGGTTTCTGTTTTGCAGATAACGGCGGAAAGCCGGCGGCAGAAACACTACACAATCCTCACGGAAGAAAAAATCCGACAGCTACAAGAAAACCACATCTCCCAAGTCTGCAGCCTTCTCTCCGTTTCTAAAACCCTAGCATGCACCCTCTTGCGCCGCCACAATTGGAGCCTCACCTCGATTTCCGACAACTGGCTCGCCGTCGAGGAAAAATTACTATTCCCACAACAAGAATTGCTAAATCCACTACCACCATACGAAGAAAAAAACAACCTCTGTAATATTTGCTTTGAAGTGGTTAGTAGTGAGAGAATGTTGTCTTGCCCATGTGGACATCCCTTCTGTTCTAATTGCTGGAAGTATTACATAATGGTCTCGATCAACGACGGGCCGGGATGCGTATCTTTGAGTTGCCCCGAGCCCGGATGCAAATCCAGTGTGGGCCCGGAACTAGTCGACTCGTTAGCTTCGGATGAAGATAAAGAAAGGTACTACAGATACTTTCTCCGATCCTACGTGGAGTGCCACGGGAACACGAGGTGGTGCCCTGCCCCACGATGCGATCGTGCGGTCCAGATCGAGACGCGCGTGCGGGAGAACTACGACGTGGCGTGCGATTGTTCTCACAGGTTCTGCTGGAACTGCGGGGAGGAGTGCCACCGCCCCGTCGACTGCAAGACCGTGACGGAGTGGATTGAGCTGAGTAGTTCCGAGGAGGATATTAACACCGCCACGTGGATTATGGCTTATACAAAGCCGTGTCCGGGTTGCGGCACTAACATCGAGAAGGACCAGGGCTGCAATCACATGATCTGTCGAAGTCCATGCAGACGAGAATTTTGCTGGTTGTGCCTACAACCGTGGGAAAACCACACCCACGCTAGTTGCAACGAGAAGAAGGAATGCAATACGGAAGTTAAGCGTGTGAGGAAAAATTTGACGAAATTCGGACATCACTATGAAGGATGGGTTTCGAATCATATGCGCATGCGAACTGCCACGTCGGGTCTTCGAACGGTGCTCGATAAGTTGGGGTGTGAATATTCGAATTACTTTAAGTTCGGGTTCTTGATTGAAGCGTTGGAGCAGATAGTCGAATGCAGGAGCATGTTGAAGTGGAGTTACGTGTACGGTTACTACTTGTCCTTGACGAAGAAAGCGACCAAGATTGCGTTTTTCGAGTTCTTGCAAAAGCAGGCGGAGGTTAATATCGAGAGGCTTCACCGTTGCGCTGCTGACAAGGATATTGAGATGTACGTGAACGACGATTTCGATTGGGCTGATTTTGTGGAGTTTCAGAGGAAGCTTGTGAATTTGACAAATGTCACGAGGAACTACTTTGAGGAGTGGATTAGAGCGTTGGAGAACGATCTTTCCGAAGTTATTGATACTTCGATTTCACAAATTGATGAAACTGACATGCAAATGGAGTCGAGTTCTTAGGTAGTGAGACAACCCGAAGAAGGTTGGTGAATATATATATATGTCGTTGTCCATATTTGGTATGCGTTGATTTTATTTCAAGTCGTGTGATTATATTTCGGAGTCTATTGATTTTATTTGAAGTCGCGTGATTATATTTCGGAGTTTCGTGTGATTATATTTCGGAGTCTATTGATTTTATTTGAAGTCGTGTGATTATATTTCGGAGTTTCGGGTCGTTCCCTTTGATAGAAGATGTAATTACACAGGACATGGTTATGTTATGTTGGTTATGTATTGTGTTTTTACAATTGAACTATCATTTATATTTTTTATATGGACAAATTGCAGTTCTGACTTCACCGCAATAAATTTCCAATTTTCGGACTTTCTCGATACTTCGAAAATTTAAAAGAAATTTATGGTCTTCATAACTATAGATCCTAGAACAAATATTTTAGGAGCTATTCAACTAATGAAACATCTAACTAGGTATATTTTGTCAAATGACTTCATTAAAAAAGAAAAGAAAAAGAAAAAGGATTGTAGTCATATGTTTGAATTTTGTAATAGATCCTTTGAAGCTTAATTAATCTAATTTAATTAGTTCATGTGTTCATAATTTAGTTAGCTTAATTGTATTTCATTATCGGTACAAGAATTATATTAATTATTCAATTTAATTGTAGGAATCATATAGCTTAATAAGTGTAGTTCAACTTCGATAATTTAACAACTGAACTTAACAAAGGCTTACACTAACTAGTTATATATAGCAGGCTCCAACTCCCCTGCTTGAAGCTTCAATCGCTAGTAATTAATTGCCGGGCCGGAAAAAATGATATTCATATTGTAAAATTATTGTCCTATAGTAAAATTATTGTACTAGAATATACTTAATTACGAAATCTTCCGGTATAAGAGTCCATCAGAGGTAAAAATTAGAAAGCATATATACTATTGGCAATAAGTTTTGCAGATTCGAAATAAAACGTAAATGTAAAACGTAGGGTTTGTTCAGCGTGTCCGTCTCTTAGAAGGAGCTGGTGGTTTTTCGACAGGTTTCTTAACTTCAGTAACTTCGGAAAGATTATTCTCCAACGCTCGAACCAACTCCCCAAAGTGATTCCTCGTCAATTCGATCAAACCTCTCAGCTCATCTGTAAAATCCCTAAACTCGTACAGATGAAAATCGGTTTTCGAGTACTTTTCAACCCCCCTCTCAGCACAACGGTGAAGCGTCTCGAGAACGCGCTCGGCCTGCCCTTGCAAGAACAAGAAAAAGGCCAACTTTGCCGAATTTGCACGCCAAGGCACGTAGTAACCGTACGCGTAGCTCCATTTCAACGCGGTCCTGCTTTCCGTTATCAGCTCAAAGGCTTCGATCACCAATTCCACTCCATCTTCTGGTAGTTGTTGGTTGTTTTCGGCTACAACCGAAATAAGCTCGTCTTTCGCCCACTTGAGGTTACCCGCCGCGATTTCCCTCGACTTGTGGTTGGCCGCCCATCTCTCGTAGTAATGCATGTATCTCTTCAGTTTTTTCCTCGTATTCGTCAAACTCTCGTCCTCTTCGTACCTGCATAACAATGGTGCCCCGTAAATTTTATTAGTAGTTCAATTGGCCAGTGACGGAACCATGATTTTATGTTTTCGGGGTAAAATTAAGCAGTAAATGTATTTTTTTTCTAGGGGTGCGATAATACTACACGAAAATTAATAATTATGTCGGTAAAATACTACTGATTTGAGAAAAATACAATAGAAAATACACACCCAAAAAAAACCACACACTTAAAAAAAACACGCACTACACCAAACACACATTGAATAAAATGCACTACACCGTGAAACACACACTGGAAATTAAATGTACTTCTTGTCTACGTTTTTTATGTAGTATGTGTTTTACACAAGAAGTACACTGAATTTTCAGTGTATTTCACGGTGTAGTGCATTTTATTCAATGTGTGTTTTGGTGTAGTGCATTTTTTTTTTAAGTATGTGTTTTTGGTGTAGTCTGTGGTTTTTTTTAGGGTTGAATTACACAAGAAAACACACACTAAAAAAAACCACGCAGTACATCAAAAACACATACTGAAGGAACGATAATCGGCCCTGTTTGCGTACCTGTTGCAGTCATAGTGTGCTTCTTTCCAAGGAGTGAGGCAGAGCCAGCAAAACTCGTGCTTGCACGGGTCCCGACAGGTTATATGATTGCAGCCTTGGTTTTTCTCTATCTTCCGACCGCACTCAGGGCACGGCTTCGTGTACGACAACAGCCACTTGTTGTTGTTCTCCTCCGACTCGTTTTGCTTAGTCCACTTCCTCACCGTTTCGCAGTCCGCGGGGCGGTGGCACTCATCCATGCACTTAAAGCAGAAGCCGCGCGAACAATCGCACGCCACGTCGTAGTTTTCCCGCTCCACCGATTGGATCCGGACGGCACGATCGCACCCGTCGCCCGGGCACCACCTCATGTTCGCGTGGCACTCCACGTAGGATCGGAAAAAGTACCGGTTGTACTTTTCTCTATCTTCTTCGGAAGCCAATAGCTCGATCATGTCCGGGCCCACGTCGGATTTGCACTTGGGTTCCGGGCAGGAGAGGCGCAGGCATGCGGGCCCGTTGTTGATTGAGATGGTTACGTAGCTCCTCCAGCAATCCATGCAGAAGGGGTGGCCGCACGTGCATGAAAACATGACGTTGTTGGCATTGAATTCTTCGAAGCAAATATTGCAGAGGCTGTTGTTGTTGTTGTTGTTTGGTGGTGGTGGATTTAGAGATTCTTGCGGCGGGGATAGGCCGAGCGAGAGGCGGACTTTTTCCTCGTCGGAGAACCACTTGTCCGAAACGGCGGAGATGCTCCAATTGTGGCGGCGCAGGAGGGTGCATGCTAGGGTTTTAGAGACGGAGAGAAGGCTGCTGACTTGGGAGATGTCGTTGTCTTGCAGCTGTCGGATTCTTTCTTCTGTGAGGATTGTGTAGTGTTTCTGGCCGCGGCGGCGGCGGCTGTTTCTGCCGCCGCCGTATTCCGCCAGCTGTTCCTCTTCCTCCTCGTCGGGATCGGTTTCCTCCGCAGCCTCGCTGCTACCGGAATCATCAATTTCCTCCACATCATCGCCGTACGAATATTCGTCGTGGTAAGAATCTTCATCGGAATCCATGGAAACTGCAAAATTGTCAAACAATTTGTGCCCTTAGTTTCTGAGAAAGAGAAGCTTGTATTTTATTTATTTATTATTTTTTTTTTTATCAGTTGTATTTATGTTTTTGAAATAAGAACGATGGGAGATTATATATAATAACCTAATAGAGTAATAGAGTCCTTCCAGGATACAGTTACCTACTTTGATAAAAAAAAATTCCCAATCAGGACTTACTAATTCTAATTCAATAAGGGCATATTACAAATAAGCCCATCAGTGGGAACTTATTCATAAAGAGATCCAGACAATATTCTCCTTTACCAATAAGTCCACACATGGTCTAGATTTATGTAAAGGACTAAAATAACCCCTCTTACTTTTGTATGCTCCAATTTCATCCTTAACTTAATTTAACTTCAATTTGACCCCAAATTTCACAAATTATTCAATTTTGACCCAAAACTTTTTTTTTTTCACAAATTTTTTTTTTTCAAAAACTTTTTTTTTCTGCCGGATTCCGGCGTTGACCGGCGGTCAACGCCGGTCTCCGGCGTTGACTTTTTTTTTTTTTTTTTTTTTTTTTTTTTTTCCTTCCGGATTTTTTTTTCCGGATTCCGGCGTTGACCGGCGGTCAACGCCGGTCTCCGGCGTTGACTTTTTTTTTTTTTTTTTTTTTTTTTTTTTTCCTTCCGGATTTTTTTTTCCGGATTCCGGCGTTGACCGGCGGTCAACGCCGGTCTCCGGCGTTGACTTTTTTTTATTTTTTTTATTTTATTTTTTTTTTAATTTTTTTTTCTGTAACTTTTTTTTCCGTTTAAACAACAATATTGCTTTGAATGACAGTAATATTAACTATATTACTGTTAAACACAGTAAAAATAACTAAACTATAGTTTAACACAGTGATATTGCTATATTAATCTCTAGCACATTAATATTAACACAACAAAATTCATTATTATTGTATAATAAAGTAATATTACTATGTTGTCCGTTCAACAAATTTAAACAAAATAAAAAAAACCAAAAGAATTAATATTACTGTGAGTGACAGTAATATTACTATAGCAACAGTAATATTACAATAGTAGACAGTAATATTATTACGTTACTCCGTGAATAACTCAAACAAACAAAATATCCAAACAAAAGAATAATATTGATGTGGTTGACAGGAATATTACTATAACAAACAGTAATATTACCGTCAACCACAGTAATATTATTGTGTTTACAGTAATATTACAATAATAGACAGTAATATTAATACAAACACCACAAAAAAATAATAATATTGATGTTGTTGACAGTAATATTATTGTGTTTACAGTTATTTTACTGTCAACGACAGTAATATAATTACGTTGACTTGTCAACAAATCAAAAAAAAATAAAAAAAAATAATAATAAATAAAAAAATATAATATTGCATTAATTTACTGTCAACGGCAGCACAATTACATAAATGTAATGTCAACGGCAGTACAATTACGTTAATTAACTATCATTGACAGTATAATTACGTTAATTTACTGTCAGTGACAGCACAATTACGGTCAACGTTTAGCGGCGGACGTGGAAAAACAAAACAAACCAAACAAAACAAAAAACTTAAAAAAACACAAAAAAAAGAGACCGCCGGAAACCGGCGAAAAAATCCGGCGGAAAAAAAAATCCGGAAGAAAAAAAAAAAAAAAAAAAAAAAAAAAAAAAAGTCAACGCCGGAAACCGGCGTTGACCGCCGGTCAACGCTGGAAACCGGCGAAAAAATCCGGAAGAAAGAAAAAAAAAAAAAAAAACCGCCGGTAAACGCCGGAATCCGGCGGCAAAAAAAAAGTTTTTGAAAAAAAAAATATTTTTTGAAAAAAAAAAAATTTTGGGTCAAAATTTAATAATTTGTGAAATTTGGGGTCAAATTGAGATTAAATTAAGTTAAGGATGAAATTGGAGCATATTAAATTATACTCCAAAAAAAAGTCAAAATTGAATTTTTGTGATCAAAATTGAACTTTTATAGACAAAATTGATTAATTTGGATTACAATTAAGAATTGGGTATAAATAGTTGAGGGTAATATTGGGATATACATGAATGTTTCCTTTAGTTATAATAAATATTAAAGGGATGGGCTTATTGGTAAAAGAGATATGTCCCCTAAACCTAGAATAATAAACATGCTTGGTTGGGGACTTTTGCATAAAAATCCCATTCAATAAATCTGGTAGGAATTTCTTTCCTTTTAAACTATCATCTTATTGTTTTCTTTCTTTCTTTTTTTGGGAAAATTACGGGAGTTAAAGGTTAATTTACGGAAAAAACCCATAATGTTTAGGTAATTACAGTCATCCCTCAACTATGTATTGTCTTACGAAAAAAAAAAATTTAGATGTAAATTTAGAGTGTTGTGCATGGATCGGTTTTAATCGCCAACCAACCCATTTTCGACCCATAATTTGTGATGGATAATCAACCATCAACCGACCCATTTAAGCTGGGTCGATAATGTCAACCAACCCATGTATAGTTGGGTCGATAATGGTTTCTAATATGCTAAAAAGTTGGTTAGTCGGGTAATATCGGCCAACCAACTTTTTGTATTAATTTATTATTTATTAATAAAATGTTTAATACTTTTACTTTCAAATTTCTATTTTATATCACATTTATTAAATTGTTTAATACTGACCAAAATTCTAAAAGCAATAAATCTAACATAATTATCTAATTTGAACTATTTTAATTTTAAGATATATAGCCTAAATATTTGAATGATTATTATTTGTTGAACTATTTATATTTAATTGCAATATATATGACCGTAATGTTTTGAATTTTTTATTTGAATATTCTTGAACTAGTCATATTTAATGTATAAAATATATAGCATTCTAACAACTAATAAAATATTAAAAAAATTTAAAAAAATATTTAGATGGATGACCCATCAACCAAACCACCAACCGACCCACAAATTTGGTTTTCAACCATCACCCAACCCATGTAAATTGGATCGATAACGGTTTTCAATATTTACCAAAGTTGGTTGGATGGGTTGAGTTGGTTTTATGGCTGGTTTTTAACCAAACCAACCAACGCACAACCCTAAATTTTAGGTGTGTTCATTGGGTAAAATCGTACCGAAATTTCGAAGGTCAACATTTCATGTTGTTTCGAACCAAATGATTTAGTTTGGTAAATAACTGAGTTACATAAATTTTATTGAAAATATTTGAAAGGAGGGGTGGCTGTAATTACCTAAACATAAGGGGTTTCTTCGTAATTTGACTTTATTTTAGGGGTTGCTGTAATTTACCCTTTTTTTTCTTTTATACTGGACACTTTACAAATAAGTCCATCAATTGGTACTTATTCATAAATGGGTGCAGACAAAAAACTCTTTCATAAAAAAGTCCAAACATTGTCGAGGGGTTTGTAAAAGGCTAAAATATGTCACGGACTTGTTCCCTTAACAAAGAACCGTGCGGCCTTAGCTCATTTTCGCCCCTCGCGATAGCTAAGTCAGCCTCTCCCAAATTGTGTTGTGAATGCTTAAGTGATGGAAACGAAGAAAGAAAGTAGAAGACAAGAGAGTTGGTAGAAGAGTACTTTATTGTTGGATTTCTTGAATGATTACAAATGAGGACCCTACCTCTATTTATACAAGACCACCTCCTCAATGGACGGTGGAGATCGATATGATCTAATGGTTGGGAGTGAAACAATCCCTTAAATGTCTCTACCTACCACCACCTACCTCTACCTACCAAAGAATCCCTACCTACCACTATACAATTGGGCCAACTTGGGCCTAACCCTATTTGGGCTACATCTTGGACTCTTTAACCTCCCCAACCCAAGGGAAATCGGCAAGGGGTTGGGTCAAAACTCGCGGGCCGTGACATCCTCCCCCGCCTAATCCGGCGACGTCCTCATTGTCTCGAACGAGTGGGGACGATCTTGAAATTGCCCTCATTGACGAGTCGAATTAGCTCCTTGGCCATTGGATCATGTTCGAGCCCTTCTCGAATCATGTCGGCCAAGTTCCCCCTTGTCGAGCTAATCGCTGCGAGTTCGGCCTTTCTACTCAAAGCATCGGCCACAACGTTTGCCTTCCCCGGTTTGTACTCCAAAACGTAGTCGAACTCCGCTAGAAAGTCTTGCCACCGTGCTTGCTTTGGCGAGAGCTTCTTTTGCGTTTGGAAGTAACTCGTGGCAATGTTGTCGGTCTTGACCACAAACGGTGCGCCTAATAGATAATGTCGCCACACTCGAAGGCAATGGATGATGGCGGTCATCTCCTTCTCTTGGACCGTGTAGCGCCGTTCCGTCTCGTTGAGTTTTCGGCTCTCGAAGGCGATCGGATGCCCCTCTTGCATCAAGACCCCTCCAATTGCAAAGTCGGAAGTGTCCGTGTGCAACTCGAACGACTTCCCAAAGTCCGGTAAGGCGAGGACCGGCTCTTGGCTCACCGCTGCCTTTAAGTCCTCGAACGCCCGTTGGCATGAGTCGGGCCATTCCCACGTCTTGTTCTTCTTGAGTAGGTCGGTTAATGGCGCCGCTCGTGCCGAGTACCCTTTTATGAACCGTCGGTAATAATTGATTAGACCAAGAAAGGATCGTAACTCGGTTACCTTAGTCGGCGGTTCCCACTCGGTGATAGCCTTGATCTTCGCTCCATCCATTTGGAGTCGCCCGTGCCCGATGATATGCCCCAAGAATTGGACCTCCTCCTTGGCAAATTCGCACTTCTCCTTCTTCACGAACAACTCGTTCTCCCGAAGTACTTGGAAGACGGTGCGAAGGTGGTTGACATGCTCCTCCATGGTATTGCTATAAACGACAATGTCGTCCAAGTAGACCACCACGAACCGATCTAAGTATGGATGGAAAATCTTGTTCATGAGAGTGCAAAATGTTGCCGGGGCATTGGTTAACCCGACGGCATGACAAGCCACTCGTAAGAACCGTATCGAGTGGTGCACGTTGTCTTTGGCTCGTCCCCTTCGGCAATGCGAACTTGGTAATAGCCCTTTTGCAAGTCCATCTTCGTGTATATCTTGGCTTTACCAAGCCTATCGAACAAATCGGCTATCAAGGGAATAGGGTACTTGTTCTTAATGGTTACCTTGTTTAGCGCCCGGTAGTCCACGCACATCCTCAAAGAACCATCGTGCTTCTTTTGGAATAAGACCGGTGCGCCGTAAGGTGCCTTCGATGGTCGGATCTTCCCCGTCTCGACCAACTCGTTAAGTTGCTTTCGGAGCTCCTCAAGCTCCGGCGGTGACATGCGATAGGGAGCCATGGCGGGTGGCTTGGCTCCCGGTTCCAACTCGATAGCGTGGTCCACCTCCCTCCTAGGTGGAAGCTTGTTGGGCAAATTCGGTGGCATCACGTCTTGGTTGGCCTCCAAGACGGTTTGGATGATCGGTGGCACGTCCTCCTCTTTGTTGATGGGCGGGCTTTCCTCCTTTAAGGCGGCTAAAAATGTCGGCTCGCCCCGTCGAACTCCCTTGGCAACTTGCATGGCCGACAGTTGCCTTGGTTGTGTGCTTTCTTCCTTAGTGGTGCCGTTGATGGCCGGCACCATGCAAGGTGTCCCCTTCTCTAAAATGCAAACCGAATTGAAACAAGGCATCGGGATAGCCATTACCTTGCGGAAGAAGTCCATGCCTAGCACCACCTTGAAGTCATCCATCGGTGCTACCGAAAAATCCACTTGGCCCTTCCAAGTGCCTAAGTGTAGCTCCGCGTCTCGTGCTACACCGTTGACCGGTTGTGCCTTAGCGTTAACGGCCTTGAGCCAACCGTCTCGTCTGGTCCACCGTAGGCCAACCCTCTTGGCCTCTTCCTCGGTGATAAAGTTGTGGGTCGCTCCCGTGTCCACCATCACCTTTGCTGGGGTACCGTTGATGCGGGCCTCCACGTACATCAGCCCCTTGCTTGATGTTGCCGGCATCGGATTAGCCTTTAAGGCGTTCAGAAGTTGGAGCGATCCCATGTTGCCTAGTCCTTCGTTTGTGTCTTGCTCGGCCTCTTGTTGTAACAGTGCCGACAATGACCCCATCTTGGGACATTGACTCATCGCGTGCGGCCCCTTGCACACGAAGCATCCTCCCTTAGGCACAAACGACCTCTTCTTCTCTTCAAGTTGTTGTCGTGAGGATGGCTTGTCTCCTCCCCTCGAGGTTGACGCTCGCCGTGGGTCTCGGTTATCTCGATGGTCCCGTCCATGATTGTCCAGTCTCTCTCCTCCGCCTTTAGTCGGGCTCCACTTCTCTTTTCGCAATGTCTCTCTCGGTTGGTACTCGGTTAAAGACTCGGCGGCGGCAATAGCTTCATCGACGGATTTGATGTCTCGTCGGTGGAGTTCTTGCTTGGCCCAGCCTTGTAACCCATCGGTGAAGTGGAAAAGAAGGTCCTCCTCGGAGAGGTTGGGAATTTGAAGGGTGAGGGTGGTGAACTCCGTCACGTACTCGCGGATTGAACTTCGTTGCTTGAGTTCCCTCAACTTCCTTCGAGCCTCATAAACGACGTTCTCCGGGTAGAAGTGTCGCTTGAGTTCCCTCTTGAACTCTTCCCAAGTATCGATTCGGCAAATACCTTTCTCGATATCGGCGTGCTTTCTACGCCACCATAACATAGCCGTATCGGAAAGATAAAGGGAAGCAGTTCTTACCTTAGTCGTCTCGTCGACTAGACCGATACCCTCGAAATATTGTTCCATCCTCCATAGGAAGTTCTCAACTTCCTTGGCGTCCCTTACGCCGTTGAATCCCGTTGGCTTCGGGCAGTCCACCCTTGGACTCGAAGTAGCACCAACGCTACCGTTAGCGGCGGCCTTTTTGCACAAGGCCAAGTCGTCGCGCATCCCCTCGATGCTCTCTTGCAGGAATTGGATGATGGCCTCAAATCGATCCAACCGTTCCTCCCGCAACGTCTCATTGTCCCTAAACAAGTCGAGTTGCTCGGCGACGTGATTCTCCAACACCTCCGTATCGTGCTCGAGCTTCTCGAATCGTTCGCTAAGCTCCGCTATGGCGACGTTATTCTCGAGCCTCTCGAGTCTTTCGCCATGATCCGTTAGCACGGCCTCATTACCGGTACTCTCCCCACGAGCCTTGCTGTGGTCCCTCTTCTTCTTGTTGTTTACGTGGGCCTCCCTGCCACGTCCCTCGGTTACGTACGAAATGTCTTCAACGTTCGCCATCGTTGAGAATTCGATCAACACAAAGCCCTTAGCCGGGCTCTGATGCCACTTATCACGGACTTGTTCCCTTAACAAAGAACCGTGCGGCCTTAGCTCCTTTTCGCCCCTCGCGATAGCTAAGTCAGCCTCTCCCAAATTGTGTTGTGAATGCTTAAGTGATGGAAACGAAGAAAGAAAGTAGAAGACAAGAGAGTTGGTAGAAGAGTACTTTATTGTTGGATTTCTTGAATGATTACAAATGAGGACCCTACCTCTATTTATACAAGACCACCTCCTCAATGGACGGTGGAGATCGATATGATCTAATGGTTGGGAGTGAAACAATCCCTTAAATGTCTCTACCTACCACCACCTACCTCTACCTACCAAAGAATCCCTACCTACCACTATACAATTGGGTCAACTTGGGCCTAACCCTATTTGGGCTACATCTTGGACTCTTTAACCTCCCCAACCCAAGGGAAATCAGCAAGGGGTTGGGTCAAAACTCGCGGGTCGTGACAAATAGCACCCCACAATTTAATTTGCTGTCAATTTAATTCAACCTCAATTTGACCCCAAATTTCACAAATTATTCAATTTTGACCAAAAACATAATTTTGAGTACAATTTCGCCCGTCGCCGCCGTTGACAGCCGGTCTCCGGCGTTGACTTTTTTTTTTCTTCATGATTTTTCCACCGTTCTCCGGCGTTGACTTTTTCGAATTATTATTATTATTACTTTTTTAAATTTTAATTTTTAATTTTTTTTTCGACTTCTGCCACTGCTGACCGGACGGTCAACGCCTGTCTACGGCAGTGTTGACTTTATTTTATTTTGATATTTTTTTCTTTAACATCTTTTTGTCCCGTTCAAACAATAATATATTGTTGTGGTTGACACTAATATTAACTATAATATAAATTATACTACAGTTTAACACAGTAGTATTGTTATATTAATCTCTAGCACAGTAATATTAACACAACGAAAGTCATTATTATTGTATAATAATAGAGTAATATTAATATGTTGACCGTTCAACAAAGGTAAAGATAATAGAAAGCCAAAAGAATAATATTGATGTGGTTGGCAGTAATATTACCGTCAACCACAGTAATATTATTGTGTATACAGTAATATTACAATAGTAGACAGTAATATTATTACGTTACTCCGCCAACAACTCAAACAAAACAAAAAACCCAAAACATAATAATATTGATGTGGTTGACAGTAATATTATTGTGTTTATAGTTGCTTTAGTGTCAACGACAGTAATATAATTACATTGACTTGTCAACAAATCAAACAAAATAATAAAGAGAGAAGCCAAAAAATAATAATATTATCGCTGACTCTAATTGTACTGTCAACAACGATAGTACAATTACATAAATGTACTGTCAACGACAGTACAATTACGTTAATGTACTATCAGTGACAGTACATTATGGTTAACGTTTAGCGGTGGGTGTAAAAAAATGGATACAAATTTTAGAAAAAAAAAATCACTAAAAAAAGTCAACTCCGGAAACTGGCGGCGGAAAAAGTAAAACCCAAAAAAAAAACGAAAAAGTCAACGCCAAAGACCGACGTTGACCCCAAGTCAACGCCAGGAACCGGCGGCAAAAAAATATTTTCAGCAAAAAAAAGTTATAAAAAAAAAAAAGAGTCAAAATTGATTAAATTGAGATTACAATTAAGAATTTGGTGTAAATGGTTGGGAGTAATTTTGTCATATACATTAATTTTTCCTTCATTTATAATACATATTAAAGGGATATTTATTGGCGAAAGAGATATACCCCGAACCTATTATAATAAAAATAGTTTGATTTATTGACGAAAGAGATATATCCCCTGAACCTAGTATAATAAAGATGGTATAAAGATGGTTTAGTCATGTACTTATGCACAAAAACCTCATATATATTTGCAATCAGACTTTATAGCACATTGGTTATCACATATTATGTATGTACACTTCTAGAAAGTGCATTAATATTTCAACAAACGTATTTATAGAAATGCTCCTCCGGACCGAAAGAACATCAGAAAAATGAAACTGGGTCATGAAAATTAATCTCAAGTACCTAAAACATCATCAAACCTAACCCTAAAATAAAAGAAAAATATTATTATGGCCATAGGTGGAAAAAGACTAGTAGAAGTAGAATCGAAGTTCGTTAACCGGTCCGATCCGGTACATGAGTCCGTAGACGAAAAAGGAAGAAAAATTTAAAGTTCGAATACGACTAAAAAAATTTTTTAAAGGGTAATGCAAAACGACATTTTTCTCATACGGATTCGAACACACAAAGTCGAAAAAAATTCGATAAATCAACACCCCAAGTTTAAATCAGTGTAATATATATCTAATTCTAAAAAACATCCAACATTCTAAGTATGCAACAGGTACCAAGAACCATAAACATACAACTCGTCGTCTTCACTACTACCTCCGAAAAACTTCGTTTCTCCGCTTCAGAAAGATCGTTCTCCACTGCTCGAACCAATTTCTCAACGTAACTCCTCGCCTCATCGGTCGTATCCACAAGCTTTTCCTTATTATCCGAACGAAAATCGGCGCATATGTATTTTACCATCTCCACCTCAGCAAAACGTTGAAGCTTTTCTAGCGCAACCTCCGCGTCCTCTTGCAGGTTCCGTAAATATGCAATCTTTTTTTTCTCGGTTATCGGCAAGTAATACCCATACGCGAAACTCCACTTCAATACTTTCCTGGATTCAACTATCGTTTCCAACGCATCGATCACAAACGGCAATCTACACTTCTTCTTGGCCCGACGAAGAGTATCCAGGGCGGTTTCCCTGGATTTATGATTCCAGGTCCATCTCTCGTAGTGACGCGCGTATCTCTTCAAGTTTTCCCTTGTCGACTCGAGACGGCGTTCCTTATCTCTTCTCTCGCTGTACTTGTCGCAGAAGTGGAGGAATTTCCAGGGACTGAGGCACAGCCAGCAGAACTCGTAACCACACGGGCGCGGACACGTCATGTGATCGCAGCCCTCGTTTTTCTCAATCTTCTTTCGACATTTCGGACATTGCTTCGTGCTAGCCCTTATCCACTTATTGTTTTCCGTATCGGAAGTCTGCAGTTTCATCCACTTGTTTACGATTCTGCAGCCGACAGGGTGGTGTCTCTCTTCCAAACAATTCCAACAGAACCCGTACGAACAATCGCAAACCACGTCGTAGTTTCCGGGATCCTTGGAATGAAATTGGACCGCTAGATCGCATCCAGGCCCCTGGCACCACTTCCGTTTTCGACTTCCCTCCACGTAGGACCTGAGAAGATATCGATAGTATCTGTCTTTATCGTAATCGGAAGCCAACGAGTCGATTAATTCCAGGCCTGGATTGGTTTTGCATTCAAGCTCGGGACAACGCAATCCCAAGCATCCCGGACCGTCGTTAATCGAGACGGCAACGTAAGACTTCCAGCAATTAGTGCAAAAGGGATGTCCACATGGCCCTGACAACATATTCTCAACCTCGATTCTCTCGAAACAAATCTTGCAGAGGTTGTTGTCCGGTGGTGGTTGTTCCGGCAATAAACCGACAGACTCGCGAACTTTTTCCTCGTCGGAAAACCATTCGTCGAAAACGGAGTTTGTGCTCCAATTGTTACGGAGCAAGAGTGTGCAGGCTACACCTTTGGAAACGGAGAGATGTGTGGAGACTTTGGAGATATCGTTATTTTGGAGATGTCTGATTCCTTTTTCATTGAGGATTGTGTAATTTTTCCAATTCATAGCGCCGCCGTGTTCAGCCAGTTGCTCCGCCGGGTTGTGTAATCTATGATGGATAAACCCTTGCCGCTCCTTAAACTTGGTCCTTACGGCTTAAACTTGTTCCAAGAAGACGAGTGTGTGTAAATTATTAGTAATCTAATTTGATTTTTGGTCGTATATATATTAGTAACCTAATATAGTCCCTATTTTAATCAAGGAAAAATACCAAAAAATTTTAATTAAAAAAAGGCAAATTCCACTTAACCCCTATACTTTAACCTGATCTCACTTTACCCCTTCTACTTATAATTGTATAACTATACCATCCACTAATTTAAATATTGCATCAATTAACTACTATTGCAGGAGACACCGAACTCTGGTGGGAAAAACAAATTTTAGAATAAAAACTTCAATATATTTGGAAGATGGGGGTTAATATGTAATATTTGTTAAAATTGATGACAAAAGAAAAATGTTGGTTAAATTAGAACTTTGGGGATGAAATAGAGTAAATAATCCGACACACCACTCTCTCTCTTCTAAATATAATCACAAGTCTCTTCTTTTTCTACTCTTTCTTTCTCTCTCTCTCACTCACACACACACACATCTCAATTAAAGATGATTTTTTATGGCATGGGGTACGACTGAATATGGTGACGGTGACGATAAATTGCGAATCTTTCTTTGGTGAGAGTAGAAGCAGGGCGGTGAAGTGGAGCGGAGTTGGTGATCAATAGGTGTCCGAGTGGTGGTGATTCAGTTGCTCGAGTGATTTGTTGCAGCCGTGGACTCGGAGTGGAGGAGACACATAATGGTGATATTTTGATTCTGCAAAATTAGCAAACAATAAACAACAACAAAGGAGACACATGGTGCTGCACTTTTGAGTGAGTGACTAGCAATGGTGAATCTTTTTTTAGATACTATTGTTTGCTATTTTGATGTTTCCCAATGTGGTGGATTTTGTAGGCAACAGGAGAAGTTGAATCGCAGATACAAACTGCAAATAAAATCTCCAAATGCAGAGGGGTTAATCGTCAAATCTGCAGGGGAATTGATTTCAATCTTATGGGGAGAAAAGACGTGGGATTTTAACTTTTATAAAGTGAGCTATTATTTGAGGATTTTTATTTTCCATATTTTACTAGGGGTATTTTAGACATAATAAAAAATAATAAACTTAAGGGTAAATTACAACCAACCCCTGAGGTATGGTCAAATTATCAAAAAACCACTCTTGTTTGGATAGTTACGTCTATCCCTCAATTATGAATCTTCTTACACCAACACCATTATGGTGTCAAATTCAACATAATCATCTAGATTCAGTGTGTTCTAGTTGGTACTCGTTTTGTGTAGAAATACAGTTTCTGTTGCACCACAATCTGATATATACAAGCCAAAAAAACACATCTTATGATCATCTTGCTTCAAAATGTGGAGCTCGAATGAGATAAAACAGGTCAAAAGTGATAATATTCCATATAATCAAGAAAATTCCACTAAATTTGAAACCGCAAGGATGGACGTGTAAGAAAATTTATAGTTGATGGGGCTATTGTATTTAACTAAATAGAAGGGGAGTTTTCATAATTTTATCATACCTCCGCGGTGATTGTAATGTACCCCAAAACTTAACAAAAATAAAAAAATTAATTGTTAGGATTTACACACATAAAGTATCTTAAAGGAGAACCTGTAAGGCTATAACAAATTGCCCCAAGATAAAATTAACAAGTCGTATCTTAAAAGGATTCTATCAGGTTAACAATTAATGCACACACGGTATACACACATGGTATATATTCAATTTTTATACAAGCTTCCCAACACAATCAAAATTCTTTAACTGTAATTCCATGGAATATTCCGATGGCGATTTCTTCTACAAACCACCTTTCGCAATCGTCGACGAAACCCGAATCCGGCAGCTACAAGACAAAGACATCTCCGAAGTTTGCACCCTTCTCTCTGTTTCTAGATCCCTTGCCTGCACCATGTTGCGCCGAAACAATTGGAGCAAGAACACCGTCTTCGACGAATGGTTTGCCGACGAGAAAAAAGTCCGGTGGTCACTCGGATTATTACAGAAACGAAAACCACTAAAACTGTACAACCAATGTAAGATTTGTTTCAAGAGTTTCAAGGTTGAGAGTATGTTGTCCGGGCCATGTGGACATCCCTTTTGCATTAACTGCTGGAAATCGTACATTGCTGCCTCGATCGACAACGGTCCCGGGTGCTTGGGTTTGCGTTGCCCCGAGCCCAGATGCAAAGCCGATCCAGGCCTGGAATTAATCGACTCGTTGGCTTCCGATTGTAATAAAGACAAATACTATAAATATCTTCTCGGGTCCTACGTGGAGGGTTGTTGGAATCTGAAGTGGTGCCCTGGCCCTGGATGCGATCTAGCGGTCCAGGTCAAATACAAGGAGCTCAAAAGCTACGATGTGACGTGCGATTGTTCGTACGAGTTCTGTTGGAACTGCACGGAGGAGAGACATTACCCTGTCGACTGCAGAATCGTGGACAAGTGGACGAAACGGAATACATCCAAGGAAAACAACACTAGGTGGATACAGGCTTTCTGTAAGCCGTGTCCCGGGTGTAAAAGAAACATAGAGAGAAACGAGGGTTGCAGTCACATGATCTGCCCATGCGGGCACGAGTTTTGTTGGGTTTGCCTGAGGCCCTCGATAGAAACACACACGTACTGCAACGCGAACGAGACGAGAAAAGACGAGTGGAGGACTCTGGAGTCCGCCAGGGAAAACTTGAAGAGGTACGCACGCCACTACGAATGTTGGGCCTGGAATCATAAATCCAGGGAATCCGCCCTGGATAGTCTTCGTCTTGCCAGGAAGAACTGTGAGCCGCCGTTTGCGATCGAAGCGTTGGAGCGGATAGTCGAATCCAGACGAGTAGTGAAATGGAGTTACGCGTATGGATATTACTTGCCTTTAACCGAGAAACGGAGGGTTGTGTATTTACGGTCCCTGCAGCTGGAGGCAGAGGGTGCCCTGGAAAGACTTCAATATTATGCTGATAGTAAGATTGAGCAATATGCGAATGACGATCTTCCTTCGGATGAGTTGACGGATTTTCGGGCGGGGCTTGTTGATATGACGAATCTCACGAAGAATAAAATCGAGAAATTGGTTCGAGCATTGGAGAATGATCTTCGCGAAGCTGGAGCTGAAACAAGCACTTTTTCTGGGGTAGTTGTGAGAGAACAAGTTCGGATATACCTATGGATCTTTTTGTTTTTTATTGTTTTGTGCTTCTTGTTGCGTTTTGCATTTCAATAATTTGGAGTTTTAATTGTGTGTCATATAAATTGATGCTTACTTTTTTTGGCTTAACTCACTTTGCACTCTTGAAATATCATTTTGTTTGAAATATAATTCTGTTCCGAATAAATTCGGAAGAATCGGAGTATAAGCTCAAACACAAAGACATCCTATTCTATTACATAATATGATCCTATGGGGAAGGGAATAAGGATTACGGAAAACAAAGGAAATAACTGTAAGTACATGCAAAATGAAACAGTAACTCTTCGTCCTGAATCCACAGGCGGTGAACCAACAACCCAGCAAAATCACAGTTTACCGGAAAACCCTAGATTAACCGGAATCACTCATATTTCGGTTTCACTCTCACACAAAACCCCCATATATTAGTAACAAAGTTTAAAAATTAGGATTTTTTTTTTTTACCTACATTGAGAAAAAGTACTAGTGGTATTACCGAGTAGAAGTGACGTGCCAAGGTTGGTAGTTGGGATGGGTTGGGTCGATTGATTATCGGTCTATCAATCAACCCATTCGACTAACCGATTAATTTTGTTAAAAATTAAAAAATTTTGCCGACTCAACCTTTGTTGGTTTGGTAACGGTTGGCAACTGAGTAGTCAGTTGCCAGAAATAGGATTCACTTTAAAAAAATCCAAATTTTAGAATAAATATATGACGTGCCATTTTAGTTTGGTAACGGTTGGCAACCGAGCAGTCAGTTGCCAGAAATAGGATTCACTTTAAAAAAAATCCAAATTTTAGAATAAAAATATGACATGTGCCATTTTAGTTGAAAACAATAAACAACTCAACAAAAATTACAATTCCGAATAAGCACATTCTTACATACTGCCACTATGCCATCATCATTCACCTTTCGTAACAATTAATAGCAAATCAACCAAGAAAAAAAATTCAATTTCAATGTTCAAAGATCAAACTTCATTCTATTTGATAAATATTGTTAATATAGTAGGTTTGATAATTATCTGTTAGCAGACTTTGATAATATTAGTAACCATCAATCGATTCATCTATGATGGGTCGGTTGAAATTATCGACCAGATCCGTAGGATTGATTAGAAATTTTATTATCGATCTAAGAATATGGGTTGATAATGGGTCGGTGGGTAAAATAAACCGATCCAGCCCTAGTTGGTAGGGTATGATCGAAAGGAAGAAGAAGAATATGACTAAGAAATTTGAAAAATAAAACTAGGCAAAATGACTACTTTCTCGCGGGGACTCAACCCAAAACCGAAAAATCCGTTTCATACTTTATTGTAACCGCCGTACGAGCCTCCGTCCGAAAGAAACGATAAATAGCATGAGCATCAACAAACAGATAATTCCACAAATTTCCTTGAACCAAAACCTCAAATTACTAACAATGCAATAGCCACCAAGAATCAAAACCATATTACGAACAAACAAAATACGACATCGGTTTCTCGGAAAAAGGTCCCTCAACACTACCCAAGAAAACCTTCGTGTCTCGGCTTCAGAAACATCGTTCGCCATTGCTCTAACTACCTTCTCAGTGCAACTCCTCGCGACATCGGTCGCGTCCACAAGCCTCGCCGGAAACTCCGTGAAATCATCCAAAGGAAAATTGACTTTCGCGTATTTTACTATCTCTTTTTCCGCATAACGGTGAAGCTTTTCCAGGGCACCCTCTACCTCCCCTTGCAAGTACCGAAAATATATGACCTTATGTTTTTCGGTTGAATCCAAGTAATACCCATACGCATAACTCCATTTCAATACTCGCCTGGATTCAACTATCTGCTCTAGCGCTTCGATCGCGAACGGCAATTTATACTTCTTTGCCAGACGAAGTTTATCAAGGGCAGTTTCCCTGGATTTATGATTCCAGGCCCATCTTTCGGAGTGATGTGCATATCTCTTCAATTTTTCCCTTGTCGACTCTAATCGGCGTTCCTTATCTTTTCTCTTGTTGTACTTGTCGCATAAGTGGAACAATTTCCAGGGACTCAGGCACAACCAGCAGAACTCGTACCGACACGGGCTCGGACACGTCACGTGATCACATCCCTCGTTTTTCTCGATCTTCTTTCGACACTTCGGACATTTCTTGGTGCACGACGCTATCCACTTACTGTTGTCTGTATCGGAAGTCTGCAGTTTCATCCACTTGCGTACGATTCTGCAGCCGACAGGGTGATGTCTCTCTTCCAAGCAATTCCAACAAAACCCGTACGAACAATCGCAAATCACGTCGTAATTTTTCAGCTCCTCGTAATTTTCCAGTTCTTCGTAACGAATTTGGACTGCTAAATTGCATCCAGGCCCCTGGCACCACTTCCGCTTTCGACTTCCCTCGAGGTAGGACCTGAGAAGATATCGATAGTATCTGTCTTTATGGTATTTGGAAGCCAACAAGTCGATTAATTCCAGGCCTGGATTGGCTTTGCATTCAAGCTCGGGACAACGCAATCCCAAGCATCCCGGACCGTCGTCGATCGAGACGCTAACGTAAGACTTCCAGCAATCAGTGCAAAAGGGATGTCCGCACGGCCCCGACGACATGTTTTCAATCTTGAATGTTTCGAAGCAAATCTTGCAGAGGAGGTTGTCGCCCGGTGGTGGTGGGTTTAGCGATACTTGTTCCGGCAATAAACCGACAGACTCGCCAACTTTTTCCTCGTCGGAAAACCATTCTTCGAAAACGGAGTTTGCGTTCCAGTTGTTTTCGCGCAAGAGGGTGCATGCTAAGCTTTTCGAAATGGAGAGATGTTTGGAAACTTTGGAGATGTCTTTCTTTTGGAGTTGTCTGATTTTTTTTTCATTGAGGATTGTGTAATTTTTCTGATTCATATCGCCGCCGTCTTCAGCCAGGTGCTCCACCGGGTTCGTAAATCTATTGTAACCCTTAAAACTTATTACAAACCGTGTATATTGTGTGTAAATTACTAGTAACCTAATATATAGACCCTATTTTCAACGGAAAGATATAGTTTTAAAAAAGTGCAAATTCGACTTAGCCCCTCTACTTTAACCCAAATCAAACTTTACACCCATTGGCTAATTCAAAAATTTAGTTAATGATGTTGGAAATTGAGTACAATAAAAATATAAATAACTCTTAATAAAAAAATAGCGCAATTTGCTAAACATCCCTGAGCTCTAATTACCAACTTCTGTACTTTATTAAAAGTCCTTTGTTTTTCATACTCCCCATACTTCGTCAGATCCCGTCCATCCGGTTACATGTTAACCCCAATTTTGACCACCACTTTTGTTGGTCGGCGGTCTCCAGCGTTGATTTTTTTTTTTTTTATTTTTTTTTAAACTTATTTTTCATTAATATTACTGTTTTTTACTACAATATTATTGTATGTCTTGAACTGCAATATTGCAGTTCAAGACAGATAGTAATATTGCACTTAAAGGCAATAATATTACTGTTCTAACTGTAATATTACTGCCTCAGACAGTACTATTGTTGTTAACACAATAATATTAATGTATTAATTAATTTTATCGTCTTGGCCTACAATATTACTGTTTTGGCATTCATGTTAGAATCCTATGGATTCTAATTGTACGAGAATTAATAAAACTTGTGCCACAAGTTTTCATATACCATGAGCTAAAGAAGGGAAGAGTCCTTGTAACTTTTAATTCTTTTAATTTGTCATTAATTGATTTATAATAGGAATTATTCTTCTAAAGAGTTTCCTTGTTTTGAAAATATTATTTCCTACGTAATTAAGAGTTTCCTAACCCTAATGGACTCTTTTTTCCTTGTAGGATTCTTATAACATGTAGAAGCATAAATACAGCAATACGGCGCCTCAGATCTCACGTCTTCTTTGAGAGAAAAATTTACGCAGAATATTTTCTTTACTCTCGTTTTTATTGGCGTCGTTTTTGGAGAGAAGCCGATCTCCCTTTTCTTGGTTGCTGTAGCACGCCTTTTGTTGGAGAAGAAAAATTATATTTTTCCGCTCTTATATTTGCTACTCCTGGAGCGTCTTGTTAATCGAGAGAAGATTTCAGAGAAATATTTTTTTTCTCTCTCGTTTTTATTGCTCCATCGTGATACGTGATTTTCATAGAAAATATACCGGCTTCAAGGCTTTGTGGTGAAGACACAGATTCAAGGAGAATCACAAGTTTGCTTCTTCTATACAAAAAGAAGATCGGTTCTTCGGGAGAGGGGCTTAAACAGATCTCGGGAGGAGATCGATCCGCCGACTGAGGGATTCAGCGTTGAAGGGAGTTCAACCGTGCGGAGCAAGGGACGTGCTGCAATTGAAGATTTATAATTCAGCGTAGTATACAAGAACGGCGTCAACAAAGAGGGAGTCTTTGTATTTTGATTAAGTCCTATTATTGTATTCGTAAAACTAAAAATTAGTAAATTTTATTTGCAGGTCCCCGTGGATGTAGGGTACAGTTGTATCCGAACCACATTAAATTTGTGTCTCGTTTATTTCTGTTTTTACAAACTGTTTCACGAACTGTTGCAACTCTTCACGCAACAGTAACGAAAAACTGAATCTGACACAAATAATTTATATCTGCACGAAATAAATTCTAACAATTGGCATCAAGAGCCTGTCACTAGATACACTTAGTGAGATTTTGGGATTTAATTTTTTAATTTGTTTTGTGCAGATATGTTTCATCGTGAAGGAGCGTCTACAGTACGACCACCTCTCTTGGATGGATCAAATTACTCGATAATTAATCGGTAATCCGTAGTCTTTTGTAAGCGAAAGCAAATTTTCACTATTTAAATGCATGCATGCTTTCGGCTAGTGATTTCTTCATGTTTTGTCTCCATGTTCTAAAATTATTTTCATATAGGTCCTCTGCTTAGAAAATCATGAAATTTTAGGAGTCTCTGCATCTCTCTGTCCTCATCAGTTTGATGGGTCTTGTGCATGATTTGGGTAAGTATTCGTTTAGTTATGATTTATTTCTCACTACTGCATTGAAACAGGGCCATTCGGGTGTTTTCTGGTCTAACTGGAGTTTTACTCACCCAAATGCCTTGTTTCCACTTGGAAAATGTTTTAAACTTATTTTTCTGCCTTGGGGTAGCATTTGGTAGTTTTTGGGTCAGTGAGGAATTTATTATGAATTTTCAAAACCCCCTCCTCTGTTCTGGATTTTAAACCGAGTGACTGTACCATTTTATTTATTTCTCCTAAATGGCCATGCATCTTTCAAAACTGTTTTAACTGAGTGATCTAGACCCGTGTTAGATTGTATGGTATTAATACGGGGTCATTTGCATGATTATTTTAAGAGGAATTAATTTTTAAAGCTTCTGCATTGAATCTGTCCGCATTTGCATTAAGTCCATCATGCCTAGTTATTTCCTAGTCTTGCATTTAGCATGCATTGGTGTTAATTGATCGATTAGGGTTGAGCAAGCTGTGCCCTCTCTCCCTCTGATTTAAAACGAAAAATTTTCACGTAAATTTATATCCACAAAAATCATGTTTTCAAAAGTCTTCCGCTGAGATTACATATAATAAGAGTAATCGAGAGAGGGGTGTCACAGCATGGGTGGTATCAGAGCCAGGTTCCCGGAATTCTCCATACGACCTAAATACCTTCACGATTCTCAAAGCACGACTCCAACTGAGCACTCGGGCAGGTA